AATACCTTGGCGATCACGAGTCGCCAACAAATTTATGTGAATTATTACAACCATGCAACCGAAACATTTAGCCGTTGGAAAATTAGAATAAAAAGTTATAAATAGATTTTTGTTTTCGATTAAAGGCGACAGTGAATTAATATATGTCTGCATAATAATGAAATAAAAAGAAAGTATCCGTTACATTGATCTGGAAGAGAAGAAATAAATATTTTATGTTTGTTTTAAAAAGATTAAGTCTGTGATTTATTTTAAAAGTAATTCTATCAATAAAAAATCAGCTTAAGTAATGAAAGATATTTTAAAAGATAGAAAATAAATATGTGTATGCCAATTGTGGCATCACATATATTCCCGCTGAACAAAGAAAAAAATATGTATATATAGTATATACATACATATTTTTTTTTTTTTTTTTAAATTAATGGTCTCCATAGTAATGAAATTTTTAAAAAAATTCAAAATTTTTAATACAATTGTTATGTATTTTTTTTGATTTTTCAAATTTCATTTCTCAAGAACTATTTGACCAAATTGGATCAAATTTTAGATCTTGTTATTTAAAATTTAGTTAAAAATAATGTAATGATTTGTATACCTAATGATTAAAATTTTTTGGACCTACCTTCAAATAATTAATGAAAAAATAACTTTGAAACAACTCTTTATGTCAAATTATTTGGATAAACAAGCTCTGTATATGTATCTAAAACTTTTTTTGATTTATTTTTAAATTGTTCCAGATGCAATGTGAAACTAGCGAACCCAAATTTTTGACCTCTCTCATGCCTAAATTATTCGGACCATAATTTGGCATTAAAAAAAAACATTAAAATTTTTTTTTAAGGGTCAGAAATCTAGATTCCTCCACAGCAAAAAAAAATTTTATTCAGAAAAAGTACATTTTTGTGTCTGATTTCACAATTGAATGCATATACTGATGAAATTAGTTAGTATATTTAAATTTATACACTCAAACCATTAAGATTGCAACTTAATTGCAAAAATGTAAATGCTGTGCTTAGGATAATTTATGCTTACAATAATTGTTAAATTATTTGAAATTGCAGAAATTTGAGCTGTTTACTAATATATTAATTACATGCTATTTTAGACTTATGAAAAAAGGATAATGCCTGGGAGCAGAAATGAATTATCAGTGATTTTGTTTTTAAATAACTGTAGCAGTTTTCCTATTAAAGATGTTGAAATAACTCTTTTGGAATCATTTAATGTCAAATTAATTAAAGAGGTATGTATATTATGTATTTTTATTAACTTTTTTTGTTTGCATATTTAACAAAGTTCTTAGACTTTTTGAAGGGTTGTTTGTCTTGCAAAATTTAAAAAAATTGAATCTTAATAAAATGAATACATTGATAAAAATTCCACTGAAATTGAGTATAGGATAAGCAGTTGTATAATTAAGCTACATGTTTCCTTTTGAGGTCTGAGTTGTATGTTTCTTTTTCTGGATGTTAATCTATACTTAGTTTGTGTTAATATTTTATTACAAATATTTTTCGCAAAAATCGGCAAAAGTGTCTCTTTTTTTTAATATTAATATTTAATGCACATATTTTAAGACTTATAATGATAAAAGCAAATAAACATTAAAAAATAACGAAAAGTCTTAGGATTTGGACATCGTTTTTGGGAATTGCATAAACGGGGTGCATAGCGTTTTTAAAAGTGTTTAAAGGTGCTTATTTACGATTTTCGTGTTTTGAAAGCCCTTAAAGGTGCTTTTTTCATTGGGTGTTTTTAAAAAGTGCTTAATTTTCCCTTTTGTAAAATGAGATTTTTCCTTTACCATGCTGATTTTCGCTACGAATTATGCAGAAAAACACTGTTTACATTGTTCAATTCAATGTTTTCACAATTAATTCAGCCCCAATCTATTTTGGCGCATCGTCAGTTCGTAGCGTATGAAACGCCATTCGATTTACATGATTCAAAAATTTTGACAATTGTAAAAAACAATGCCAAAAGGTTTTTTTTTTGACATGACGATTAAAACCAGCTAAAACCATCAATTGTCAAAAGCTTTTCTAACCTACCTAACTATGATATTTTTTGAAATTGCTTAGAAATATTATTTGAGTGCTTGAAAAGTGCTTATTTTTTGTTGAATAATTTAGCTACGCACCCTGATAAATGAGTCATTTTTTGTTGTAACTCTCTCAATACTATGAAGCAATTCACTAGTGCTTATCCATTCACATTTACTAGATACTAGTTTTTTTATGATAGGAAACTTCAATCCATAAGTCATTACAGAAAGTCGCATCATTGCAGAAGTTTAAAATGTGTAGCCTGTTTTGATTCTAGCTATATATATACCAGTCTTGCTTGACTAGATCAATGCAATTGACGCATCTAACTTTTATTGAACAGTTACAATTATTGATTAGAGTTATGCCTAGTTCAAAGTGGATAAAATGTGATATTTAATATGGGGTTATAATACGGCAAATCTGTACTTTTCATTTACTAAAAGCACATGTATTTGAAATCACGTGCCTGTTAAATTTTTGGGTTTGAAAAATGTGATACTTTCAAGCCATCATAGAGAAGTGACTCAACTGTCTAGTGCATTATTAATCAATTAGATTATATTTTTATCTTCTACTCTTTTTTAATTTTTTTCTAGTTTCATATGATTTGGAAAGAAAAACATTTTAAACTCATTTACTCATACTCATACTCATTTAGGGCTATAATAACATTTAGGGAATATTTTGTCATTATTTTATTGTTCTTTCATGTTAGAGAACTAAAATCTAAGTAAAATTCTGTTTGATTACGATAAATGAAACTGTATAAAACATAATTTTACTTTCAAGTTTTTTTTTTTAAAATTTCTTTTATCTGAAGATAATTCTTTTCAGATTCAGCAAAAATAATTTCTTAATTTTATATGCTAAATAGAAATACTTAATTGCTATTTTGTTACAAATCTCAAAAAAAATGTGGAAACAAATTTTTTTCATTTCAAATTTACAATAATTATCGATATTATTAATGTTGCATATATTATTATTTTTTTAAACATTTCTTGTTATTTAATTAAACATTAATTTCATTACTATCTAACCTTTATAATATCCAATAAATTTGTTTTTATGAAAATGAAAGCTAAAATGTTTTAAAAAATATATCTTCGATATATTGTATTGTTACATTAGTGTGGACAATAATTTTTTTATATGAATTTTTAGGAGTTAGTTTATTGAAAGTTTATTATTACTTTCAGATAAGTTTTTAAAATCCCATATTTGTCATGTTTTAATTGAATGACTCTGATTATATAGCAACTACTATGTGTAAAATGTAAGAATCTGAATCCTTGAGGTCTTGGGTAGTAATAAAGTGTAAATGAAATGCTTATTATGATTATAGTTACGTCTTAATATGTTACATTAATTTATTTTTGTGAAATCATGTGGCATCATTTAAAAAAAATTAGCTCTTCCAAACATGCGTAGATAGAATAATGAAATATCTGTCTAAGATAATAAAGATGTGTAAATTTGATTGTATGTAACTTTTATTGAATAAAAAATGATCCAAATTAACCATTATGTTAATAATTCAGAATGGCTAAAAGTTAACACGTGACTTAACTTAAAATGTTTGTATATAGATCATAAACTGCCGTGATTAACCATTAAAATTATATTGTAACTTATGAAATTACAATATATTTTTATGAATTGCAATATATTTTTATTTCTTTTTCTTCAATTTTTAGCAAAATGAACCTGACAGCTGCATAAAAGTGCCATTTAGTATATTACCTGAAGCGGTAATAGAGCAGCAAGTTATTTTGTCAGTGGATAATATAGCTTTATTTCAATCTGTTCGAGGAACTTTAACTTACATAATAAAGGTATTTTTATTTTAAAGTTTTAAATTCTATACATTATTTTCTCTTGCATAATTTTATAAATCATTAAAATTTGTGTAGAATTAGTTTGAATTCTTTATGATAGTTAATATTTTATTCAAATTCAAACTGAATTCTATGTAAATTAATAATACAGTTTATAAAGCCAGAACTATTTTGAATTTTTTAATATACTTAGGTTACATAGCTGTTAAGGACATAGTATTATAGTTTTAGCTTTATTTGAGGCTTATATATTAATGCTGAGTCCTCAATGATTAGTGCTTTAGTATTAAAAGTTATTGTTCATAAAGAGTTTTTAACTCTACACCATTTCATAAAGAGTTATTAAGTCCCTGGATGATATAAAAAAAAGTTTGTTCAATTAAATCTTTTGATTTTTAGCCTAAATATGGATACAAAAAATTACGAAATAGTCAATTTAAAATGCCTTAACACCATTTGATATATTTCTCAATGAAATTTGCGATTTTTAAATTAAATTATTACTTAGTCGAATTTTGTAATGAGCATGTTAGCAGAGGATTTTGTATATTTTGAATGTTGCAACATATTTTTATTTCTGCTTGAATTCATCTCAATGGAAGAGAGAGTAACATATTTTTAGAAAGGTCAGATTTCTGTGTGAAACATGAATAACTCAATATTGTTAATCATATGTTTTTAAACTTAATCTTAAATAAATTAAATTTATTAATTTTTAAATTTTAATGTGACATATCAATTAAAGAAATAATGACCACTCATTTAGAGCAAATGACGGATACAAATTAAGAAATTTTATTAGAAATGTTGCTAGCTGGAGGTGACATATGACCTAGTAAGGCATAATTATGCTATTTACTAAGGAAATTAGAGTTTCATTGATATTGGATTAGGTTTGGGAGAATTTACGATTCTCCTTTTTAACTAACATAAATGTATGTTAGTTTTTCTCAAAATGTTTTGTAAATAGTCATGTATATCTTGTTTCTTGACTTAGATTTTTTTGTTAGTTTTTTGAGGTACAAATTCACACTGTCCTTGATTTGAATGTTAAGAGCTAGATGAGTTGATTCTTTCAGTAACAATCAGCAGATTGTGTCAAAAAAAATGACATTACCTTAAGAAGGTTATCATATGTTTTTTTCCTTCCTTTCTTTGAAATCTGTTAATTAATCTTCCAAAGAGCGTGTGTCTACTCATTTTTTGAGTATAATTCAATTTCTTCAGTTTATTTATCTATCAAAGAAAATTTTTTTTATGATAAAAACTGTTAACTTTCTCTGTAGAAAGGATCATACTCTGAAGGAAGGATCATACTAGATAAGAGATTAGAGACTTAGTCAAAGAAACTTGACTACATATTTAAATAGAAAATTATTGATTTTATTTAAAATTTTTTCCTAAAATCAAAAAGAAAAAAATTGTAGCATCTTTCATATTAATTCAACATTCCTATTTGGAGGATTTTTTTTCCACATGTGACCATATAAACTGAGCATTCTGTTAATTTTGTTAAGGTTTATATTTTTTACCCTCTAACTGAAATATTTTTTTGTATTACTCATTTCTAACTTAGGAAAAAACTTTTATCTATCGATTGTGTTAGCATCATGACAAAAAAAAATAAATAAATAATAAATAAATAAATAAAATCCCCCCCCAAAGATGCCAAACAAAATATTTTATTATTAATAACATATTTTATTATAAATAATTGTATAATTCATGTTGCACATAATCCCTGCCTCATTGATTTTATGCATGCATATACAGTGCAACCTCAAAAATCCGGACTGCTGGGGGGTTTGAACGGTCCGGATTTCCGAAATTTCCGGATTTTAGATACCTTACTTAAATTGAAAGAATTATCGAAGTTCCGAATTCGACAGGCCGATTTTACGATTAAACGTGCTTGTGTAGACCTCCGACTTCAATTTTAACAACTTAACATAGATATTTGCCTTAAATAATAAATAAGAGACATTACAAATCAAACAGAGACAAAAAGTAGCCTAAAATAATATATTTATAGCAACACAATTAAATAAACGTTAACTAATTTATTTCTTAAACATATCAAAAACCGTAAGTTGTTTCATAGATTTCATTCTATGATTGCTTATTTTTTCTTTCACTTTATAGAGTAACATTAACTCATGTTCATCAACAATGTCTCTTTGTTCCAAACCTTTAAGAACATTGTTCATATTTGTTAACATTTCATCCAATGAAACTGATCTTTCTTCATTTGGAGTTTCAGTTTCGTTATCGCTGTTGTTTTCTTCACGACCATTACTTAAAACGGCCATTTTTATTTCATTGTCAGTCATGTGGTTGACTATAGGTAAATCGTCGTCGCACATCATGACCTCCTCGATGTCATCTTGATCAATTTTGAACACGCACTTTTTAGCGTAATCGAGAAGTTCATTAACTTCAAATTTTGAACTTTTAAAAGTTTGAAACCTTCAAAATCGTTTTCGTTTTCACTTTCATTTTCAAAGAAAATGGTAGAAGGCAGCAGATTGTGCCAACCATGCCTCAAAGTTTCAGCCGTAACATTATTCCATGCCTTTGCAGCACATTAAAGGGCATCCTTTATGTCAAATTCCTTTACAAATTCTGTGATGCTCTTACTCTGATTGAGAGAATGGAGCATTTTCTTCAAAAAATCCTTTTTATACTTACATTTTAAAGATCTTAATATGCCATTATCCATAGGTTGAATGAGAGAAGTGCAGTTCGGAGGTAAGTACATTACCTGAACTCCTGATTTCGATAAAATTTCAGCTGGAGGATGCGCTGTACAATTATCTTAGAGGAGAATAATTTTGGCATCGCTTGGAAGCCCAACAGCATTGCAATGAGCTCGAGCTTTCGGAACGAAATGATCGTTAAACCACTCTTCTGTCAATTCTTGCGTAATCTATGCACGCTTGTTCACTTTGTATACAACGGGTAGATTTTGAACGTTTTTCAATGCTCGAGGTCTAGCACTTTTGCCGATTACTATCAGCTTGAAGCGATGAGATCCGGAAGCATTAGCGCGTGCCGAAACAGTTAGCCTCTCCTTTATATCCTTCACACCGGATGGATTGCTTTCATCTGCAGTGGCTAAGGTTTTTCTTGGAACATAGCGCCAAAAGAGAGCAGTTTCGTCGGCATTATATATCTGATCGAAAGATAAATTATTTTCAGCCACAAATTCGGAAAATTCATTAATAAAATGTTCGGCAGCTTCAACGTCAGCTGACGCCTTTTCCCCGCAAATTCTTAATTGCCTTATTCCATGACGTTTTTTAAATTTATCTAACCATCCTGAAGAATATTCACAAGGCGTTTCTATTTTCAAGTCTTTGTGGTAGAGCCTTGCCTGTGCCATAATAATTGCGCCAGTCAAAGACACTTTCTCACTTCTTCGTTGGCGTACCCATTCTATCATTATGCTATCCAAATCTTCGTTGTTGGCTTTGCGTATCGTTTTTCTTTTATCCATCTCTAAAGGTACATCACTTTTTGCGAAAAACTGCAGTACTTTATCTTTCTGCTTAATTAAATCATAAACAGTTGATTTGCCGAGTTCGTATTCGATGCAAAGATTAGGCATTGAAGTTCCTGAGTCATGTTTCTGAAGTATTTCTACTTTTTTCAAAATTGAAAGAGAATTATGTTTCCTCTTCTTCGAGCTTTCATCATTTTTCCCCCCTAATCGATCTTTTAGATAGCATAATGTTAGATAACAATTCGTTATATAACAATTGAAACTAAAAATATAGGCTGTTAAAACGGGAGCTGACTTTCAACTTATAACTGAAACGGATGCTTCTAGACTAGACTGTAAAAGCTGATGCTAATCTTTTTTTTTGTTGGGGGATGAAAGAACTTGTCCCCGCCTCCTACACTTCAAGGTTAAGAAAGAACCAGTTTTCTTTCTTCACAAGAGGGAAAAACAAGGTGGTAGAAGAATTCCTCCTCCTACACACCTTATCTATCAAAGAAAATAGAGGGGAGTCCCCTTTGTTCCCTATACAAAGCTGATAAGAAGGACTGGAATTTCCTTATCAGCTATGTGCTTTCATTCACTCCCCACCCCTACCTCTTCTTCTACTGCTTCCTTGTTGGAGAGGAGTTGCGATTTTGCGCTCTTAAGTTAAAATTTTTATTTGAAGCGATTTTTTTTTGGGGGAAATTTTTTTCTGACGAACTGGACGTAAAGGTCCGGATTTTAGAGATATCCGGATTTTAGAAGTCCGGATTTTCGAGGTCGTACTGTATATATATATAATATAATTTAACTTTCAAATTAATAGCCAGCAATAACTGAAAGTAAGGAAGCTTGCTTATTTTTTATATAACATTATTAATTTTCTAAATAAGTGTTAAAAATTCAATAAAAAATGTCCTAGTGATAAATGTATGATGTTTAGAATAGGTTTAGATTTAAATAATAATTTTGGCTTGCTGAAGAATGATTAATTTACTAAATATTTATTTATATGTAATATGTACCAGTTATTGAAAATAAGTTTTTTATGCACACTGAGTATTAAAAATGTCCTTTGTTTATAATTATTTTAGAATCCGTCAGCTTCTAGCCATGAAAAACTAGATTTTAAGCTTGAATTGCCAGCCTCATCATTTATGATTGGTGAAATTCAGCCCCGGTAATGATGCTTAATCTTTCCATTTCATTTTATTATTCTATATTTAAATTTCTTTCACATGTTTGATTTCTAACATTATTTCAGTTCTAATCAGTTTCGAAAATGATATAAAGTTTAGTCCAAGACAAGTAATATTGTGAAAGATTTAAAATAAATGATTGAAATGTGCTCCCAGAATCCTTTTAACTGTTCAATAACTTAAAAAATCCTTAATGCTTGATAGTTATTATGTTAAAAAAATTTGCTTTCAATAAAAAAATTTCTGAATTGAAAGGCTCAATGAAGAAACAAATAAAACATATTTATGGAAAAGTTATTGCATGTAAGCATTTAAGTTAGCTAAAAATCTTAGGATTTATTTTTTAGGAAATTTTTAGGGGGGATGAAAAATAAGCTTTTAAAGTGCTCTCTAAAATGATTTATCATATTTATTCTTCACTCGTTACCCTCTTGATCTAAGTATTTTTGTGTTATTTAATAAATTATCGAACAATTAGAAACCAAATGATAAAAATTTAAATTAATTAAAAGTTTTTTATGTATTGCAATTAAAAATATAAGTTCTTTTAACAAATTTATTTAGGATGGAATAATTGAATTATGTTAAAAAATTTATTTCCAAAATTCGCTCAGCTTAAATCTTCATATTAGTTTGATGCAATATTTTTATTCTTGGTTTAATAAAAAATAAAATAAGTTTAAATAAAATTTGTATTTGTTTTATAAAAGATGTATTGCTAATTTTTATATCTTTTTCTGCAATCATTTGAAATTGAAAACTTAAGTTGAGCTGAATGTTTGTAAATGTATGATTTAATTGGTTTAGTTGAAAATATTCCTGAAAATGTTTTTAAAAAATAATGGGAAATTAAAATTTAATAGCTTAATGTGCTTTTGAATCACTAATGCTTTTGACTAGCTAAAAATAATATTTATATTTTAAGTAAATTAATTTTGTTGTAAATTAGGTAAACTTAATTAACTTTTACATTTATAAAGTTTTTTTTAAATAAAAATTTTTTTTCAGAACTATTTTTTATATTTTAGATTCTACCAATATTTAAAATTATTAGTTAGATATGAAGTTTATACTGTAATTTAAAATCTTTTTAATTGACATTGAATAATTTGTTTTTTAAATTAAACTTGGTAATTTGTTTTTATTATCATTTTTATGTCTTTAATTTGGCTTTTATTTTATCAATTTATTATTATTTTTCTTTTGATTAATTATTATTTCTCTCATTCTTTTTGTACACTTGGTTTTAGTTCATTTCTTCAATTATCCCTCAACTTCATTCTATAATGCATAATAATTTCTTCATTAGCTATCAATGATCTTTTTTTAAAAATATGTTTTGGAAATTATTTCATAGCAATAAATTTGTTGTTTTATTTAGCGATACAAGAGATACATTATCTGAATTATTAGGAAGCAATGATCTTTCAGCAAGAGATTCAGTCATGATTGATATTTTAAATTTGGATTTCAACCACATCATTGCTAAAATATGTTTTCACTGTCATTTTTTTGGTATGTTACTTATTTTTGCTTCATTGTTTTTACAAGTTTGTTTCTAAATAAAATGCAAAACTTTTATAAATTAGTTATTTGCTTAATTTATCTTCGCTCATTATCATTGTATTTTGCACTGTATGACTAAATAAATTAATGCATAATCTTTTTACTTTTGAAAGAGTTATGCTTTTTAAAAAAAAGTCGTTTGAAAAAAAAAAGTTATTTATAATGATAATAATTTACATTTGTTGAAAAATTGTAAAAAAATAGCATAATTATATTGGCTTTTATAAAATATTATTCATTATTGTTGATACTGCATAATCAGATAAAGAAATAATAAATGCCACTTTATATAGGAATAGAATTTGCCCCAACCAAAATTTCTACTATAAACATAACCTTGAAGTTAAATGGAATGATGTTCTTGTATAATGCAATATCTAGTAATGTGCGAATGAAAGATCTTTTTTGTTTGATATACACACAATCACACATTTGTTTTACCAGCACCCGTTGCATCATTTGATTTTATTAAATTATGTTCAATTCAATTATTCTTTAAATGGCTCTTTTTCAATTGCTATATTTAATTAAGTTTTAACACTCATATTATTAATTATGATCATAATAATTAATATTTTGTTTAATTAAATTTCAGACATATGTTTGAAAATGTGACGTTGGGAAAAAAGCATAATGCTTTCCACTTATTCAAATTGGGAAAATAGATGCTAAAACTACTGCTTTTTTAACAAGAATATGCAATTTCTTGGAAATTTTTTTAATAAACTTTCTATTAAAATATATTATTCTGAGGTTGTTTTATTTGCAGTAAAGATAGATATTAAATTTTATATATAATGTATATTATAATATTGTATATATAAACTTTGGCCAGACAGTTGAAAAAGCATATTTTTCCCCTTTATTAAATCAAAGTATTAAGGGTAACTTTTTAAATTTTAAAATGGGAGATATATTAATTAAAATAGTTTATACTTTTGGGAATCGCTATACTTTTGTTTTAGAAATTGCACTTTAAATATCGTAACTATAATATAATATAAATAAATGTTTAACTGTACAGGCTGTTCTGTAGAAAAGTAAAAATTAAATAAAATGTGAAAATAGTCTTAGTAAGTATGTGAAGTTTTTCTTCAGTTTGTTTAGTAAAAAAAAAAATTTTTTTTTCCACAGTACTTTATACATAGTTTATGTTTTGAGGCTACTTTGGCCCATGCCTATGTTGTGTTAGACTTTGTAACATACAAATGAGCTATAATATTTTCAAAAATAGTTTTGTTTTTATTGCTTAAAAGTTTTTATGATTGTATGATAATATTAGGACATTTAATTTAATACGATTTGTTCAGTATGCAAAATATTTTGATAAAACTAAATCTAAGCGGTCAGTTCATAAAATTGTGAAATTATCGAAAGTTTTTTAATTATTTCAATTATTTGTTATTGATTTCGCTAAAGTAGCCTATATAAGGGAGTATATTGATCCAATATGGGAAACACAATTGAATTTCTAGGAAAAAAGAAGACCGGGTCATACTAGCCCCAAGCAAAGGGTACTTTTGACCCAATATTTAAAAAAAAAATTTTTTAACGGTCATTAAAACTAAAGAAATTCACTATTTATTTACTCTAAACTCCATTTTCGATAAATATTTATTTGAAATTACAATACAAATTTTATAAAAATTGCAATTAAAATAAGTCAAAGTATACTGTAATATAACAATTTGTATTAGAAAATATACTTTTAATCTTCTTCAGAGCTTATAATGTAGGTATTTCAGTTAAGATTTGATGATTCCTTTATAATCAGAACTTAATTATGGTGGCTTAAGTGAGTCACCCTTACAATCATTTAAGCACTCATTAAACTTAAATAAAAATCTTTTATATCCTTTTCTATTTCCATTCTAAAAACATATTTGAATCTTAAATATGTAATATTTTTACAGCAAAAATGAACAACTTTTATTGCCACCTTATGTCTTAACTGTAACAGATGTTTTAAAAACATGTGAATATGTCTACATTGATTTAAAAAATGTAATGTATTTCAGTAAAAATTTATTCAGTTAACTCTTGTCTTCAAAAATGTCTATCAAAAAGGTCTATTAAAATTGAACTAATATATTTACTTCTTTATTTCCAGTTGTTGAACAGTATGGTGATAGTGCCTCATTGTATAGTCACTCCATTCAAGGAGATCATGTCTGCCTTCTAGTCAAATATATGGTAGGTTATATATATATATATATACACACATACATACATATATTATATATACAGACATATCATATATTATATACAGGGATGAGATTTTTTCGCTTTTTTTCACTTTTATCTCTCGAATTTCAGTTTTTTCATTAAGAAACTCTGATTCTCTAAAAGTTTAGTTTTTTTTATTATTTTTTATAAATATTCAGCTTTTCTGTAAATGCAGTCGTTGAAATAAGATTATATTTATTTCTGATTTTCAAAGATAAACAGAAAATTCAAACTATGTAGCTGCCAACTCTTCCGCATTTTTACTTATTTTAGCTATTTTCACCACTTTTACGTGCGGAAAATAAGATTTTCCATATTTTTTCCATATATTATTGCCCGCCACATAGCTTGCATTTTTACAATTCAAACGTCGCTGCTTCCTGATTGCTGGTGCGAAAGCAAATTAAATATAAAAAAGATAAATAGCTGTGGATTTGCAGTAAAAATATTTATTTGCACATTCAATTAATTTTGTAAATTTTTATTTATTATTGCTAAACAAAAACAATACTTTTAGAAATCACATGCCCAGAATCTGCTTTTATCTCGATTCTTATTCACACAATTTTAATATCAAACATCAATTTTCATTTCAACCTGCTTTAAAACTTGCGCATTGCATTTCTTATTCACTCAATTTAAATATCGTACATTGCAATTTTTGGTCACACGATTTAAATATTTTACATAGCGATTCTTATGTACGAGATTTAAAATTCTAATATTGCGATTTGTATTCATGCGTTTTTAGAATCTTGATTTTATTATCAAACATCGATTTTCATATTTATTGGATTTAAAAGTTGCTAGTTGCGATTCTTATTCAGGTGATTTAAATATCGTACATTGCGATTCTTATGTACGAGATTTAAAAATTCACTATCATGATTGGTATTTACGAGTTTCTAACATACATACATCTATGTAGCGAATCCAATGTCGTAATTCGTTTATGCGGTTGTAATATCAAACATCTATTTTCATATTTATAGTGATTTAAAATTTAGACTTTGGGATTCGTATTCATGCTATCTAAAAATTACGTATCATGATTTGTATTTTTGAAATCCAATATTGAGTTTCATATTCACATGATTTAAAAGCCACATATCGGGATTCATACTCTCTCAATTTAAAATCAAATATTACGATACTTATTCATGCGATTTTAAAATCATACATGTATTTCATGTTCATACAATTTTAAAATTAATCATTGGGATTTATAATCACATGGTTCAAAAATCAAACGTTTTTGGTCAAATTTTTGGATATCATACCTTCTTCATATATATACATACATACATACATTCTTGAATTTCCTCTTTTTTTTCTTTCTAACTACTCTCATCCCTGTATATATATATCAATAAAATTAACGTGATCAGGACTGAGAAAACTGTCTATTTGGATGCAATGTTCACTTAAGAGAAGGGCATTCAGAGCTGTTTGAACTTGTATTAATTAAACTTTTATTATTAGGAATAAATAATTAAATATAATAAATGCCATGGAATTGTGAAAAAGTTTATTTATACTTAAATTTTTTTTTTCACGCTTACTTTTTTCTGATAAATAGGACCATATTAGAACTTTGTCTTCAGCATTGATCATAAAATTAGAAATTTATTATTCAAACTTATCAAAAACACATTGATTCATTTGAAATTTAGGTTTCTTTTCAGAGGACATTATGTACTTCATGATTATTACATTTCCCACAATATTAGTTTCTTTTTTCAATTAAAAATGGCTTAAAAAAATAGAATTTTTTTTTTTAAAATTCTATTTGTAATTTTGTTTTGCCACACAAATTGATATTACCACTCAAGTTTTTCTGATTTTTACTGTTCTGTATTATTTTGGGTTTGCTTATGACTTTTTATTTTGAAGTTAAAAATTAATTATGTAGCAAATGAATGAGAAAAAAGTATGCTAGGGAAAACTACTTTTTTCTTGATAAACTTATGTCGCTTAATAACTTATTATTATAACTGAAAGTATCTTGAATCTTTTGAAAAACTGGTTCTGTGCAAGAATCGCAACAATTTTGTCCTACTTAACTACATTTTAAAATAAAAGTTGAACCTTTCACCTCAATTCAATAATCATGTACTTCAGTAGTTCATTGTGACGATCTCATATCTTCATTCTCATACCTGCCTAAAATAAGATGCTTACTGGAAATGGGCCTTGCAATTTTAATATAATGCTCTAAAAATATAGATGATTTAAACTAAACTCAGTGGCGCGACAGCCTATAGAGGGCCAAGACCTACTGTGCCCATCTCAGTTTTCTTGACATTGGACTGTGGGGTGCTGGAGCAGATGTTCAGATTAGGTGGTCAGCCAAACGTGGAACCCCTAGTGTTTAGTTCCCAAGCATGCTTGGTACTCATTTATCGACCCACTGAAGATGAAGGGCTGAGTCAACCTTGCCCAGCCCGAGGATCGAACCCAGGACCTGTGGCACGGGAGCGTGACGCGCTACCACTAAGCCACTGGGAAAAAATATAGATGATGCAATCTACAATATAATTATAGAATAAATAATTTGTTTTACAATTTCTCATTATTTAAAAGCTATAATGCACTTATATCCATCCTTCTCGTTTTTAAAATTCTGTTTATTTCCTTGTTCCAATTACTTTGATCATAAATAAACACTCATATCTGCTTGACTATGATTTGCTAGAAAGTAAGCCTAAGTATGATTTATGGAATATTAAATTTGAGAAACTTGTAAACCACTTTTCAGTACACAAATTGCTATTATTGTCTAGATAAATGGGTCTCAGCCTTAGAGACTATGATAGTTTGAACATCAGAATCTGCCAGAGAATTTGAAAAAAGTTGTATTGTAAAACTTATTAGTAACTCATTTATTTCAGTTTTGAAAACCTCTCCCAAAAATATTTTCTGGTCATACCATTCAATAAAATCTTTCATACTACTAACTTTTTTCTTTTTTTGTTTTTTGTTTATTAGGCTGTTTACACTTGCCTCTTATCTTAAATTTTTGACGTTTGTGTTGTTGAATTTTGTAATATTTTCTTTTACCAGTTTCCTTTGCTTTTCCTTGTTAATTCAATTTACTTTTTAGCTTTGAGTTAGTTTTTGTTTATTTTTTAATGACTGTTTTAGTTAGTTTTTGTTATGACTGTTTTAGTTAGTTTTTGTAATGACTGTTTTAGTTAGTTTTTATAATGACTGTTTTGATGTTAGTTTTTGTAATGACTGTTTTAGTTAGTTTTTGTAATGACTGTTTTGATGTTAGTTTTTGTTTATTTTTTAATGTTGACTTTTTAATGCAAATATTGCAGAGATTAAAAGAGAAATAAAAAGATCTAATATTTTAAGTATGGCACTGCATAAGATTTCTTATCGTAAGGCCTATAAATATGTATATTTTTCATTTAGATTAAGCTTTAAAGTTGCAAATATTCTTTCATACCTGGCATCATCATGATCTAATTTTGACATATAGCTTTTGATTTTATTTTTTAGCTGATAACTTATCTTTTAAAATACTATATTCTTATCACAAAATAATATAATTTGACTTAAACATATCTTTTACATAAAATGAAGTTTTTGCTGTGTGCTATTTTTGCATGTTAATTTCATTGTTACTTGTATAATACATTTTAATTGCAGGTTTTTCATAGCCTATATTTTTTTTATAGGAACCACAACATATATCAGTGGATGCTAAGGGAACAAATTCTACTTTAACTACTTGCTTACTAGAAGAAATTAAAAAGTTATTTTCATCTAAAGGCGATGAACAGTAATGTAAAGTTGTAAAATAGGAGCTATATGTTTTTGTTGATGAGTGTGATGAATTTCATTGAGTGACTTTTATTTAACATCAATGGATTTGTTCTGGATACAGAATTTCAATTTATGGATAGCAATAAATCATCAGTGATTACAATGGATTTGTTGAAGAAAAACACTGATCTTTTTTATATATTTAATTATTTTACGTTTTGATAATTTATATTGTTTGCAAAAAATAATAAATTAAAAGTTGAAACATACAATTATTAGAATATTGTTGAAAGTAAAGAATTTTGTGCTGATGAATGCAAATTGTTGAAGTTAAACAATTATAATCATATTTTATTTCTAAAAAAAATGAATCATTCCAATACTTTTATACTTTATTGTAATTGTGCTTCTTGCACGTTAAATACTTTATTTTTGTCTTTTTATTCTACAATAAAAAATATTTTAAGAAAAATTTGAAACTTATAGTTTTAGTGTTTGTTAGTTTCTCTTCTCTAAATAAAGTTAATATATATTTTTTATTAATCTTTGTTGTAAATTTTTTAATGTTTTACATTATCTCTTATTAGTATGAATTAGTACAATTGTATTTATTTCTTGCAATGGAAGATCAACTGCCTCTTTGTTTGATGATTTATTTTTAATCTTCTACTTTTCCACTTACTACAATCCTACCACACTGATTAGAAGTAAAATAAAGTTTTATTACTTGCTCTTAAGAGAAATGTCAAATTAGGAAAAACAAAACTGGTAATGAAAAAAATTATCTCAGTTTATTTAGCTTAAGATCATGAATGATTGAGTGAGATATTTTATGATATATTAATGATGCTAAATTACGAAACAAACATTCATTAAAAATGTATATAAGTACTACAAGTGTATCTAATTGAATATTGTGTGTATAATTGTTTTCATGATTAGAATTGTAACGCTTCTAAACTTAACATCTGGTATACTGGATAAAAACTTGAAACTATTTTTTAACTTATTAATAATAATATCAAAATCAAAAATCTTTGCTTTATATGATTGTCTGAAACCTTATGTTTGCCCTTTAAATTTTAATTTTGCATTCTCTGTTAGATAACAGTATGGAGTTAATTAATTTTTATCTTCAATTTTATTTATAGGTTTGAAAAGTGATACTATTTTATATTTTGTCAGTCTTGTATAAAGTAAAATCTTCAAAATTTAGTTCTTGAATCTCAAAATTAGCAAATTATTTGTCATTTAATTAAGTTTTCATTCTATAACTCGCTTTTCAAAAACTTCAAAATTTGCAAAAACGTTAATAGGATGTATTAATAGAATAAGCTTTCATTTGAAAATAATTTTTTCCCCATCAAATAAGATTTCAAAAAAAAAAAAAAAACATAATATATGAGTAATAAAATCAAATCTTTCAGTATTTGTTTGAGAGTATATTTTTATAATAAATTAGTTGACTGAATATAAGCATTGATAATGTACCTAATTTTTTACTTGAGTCTTCATCTTATAAAAGTCTATTTTAATGTTTGCATTTTGTTTCACAGTACTTGAACTGTTGATTTGTATTCAAATTATAAAGTGAAATAGTAATTTTCAAAATTGGAATAAACCAGTATGGTAAAGTTTTTAAAAATATTTTAATGCTTTTTTTTTTTTTTTTTAAAGGAAATCTGTTTTAAAAGTGGATTTGTGTGATTTCAATACAATTTTAAACTGATTCTAACTCACTAGTGTACCAACAATTTACAATTCTTGTTTTTAGGAAGTGCTATAAAATGTTGTAAAAATCAAATATATTCCAATATATTGTAAAGAGTTTTTATATTGTTTCTTAAAAATTAAGCATGTAATTTCAAATTTGAAAAATAATTAGGGACATAATTTTTTACCTACTAATATTTTAAGTGGTAAATCATCATCATAATGAGCAATAAGATTATAAAAAAATAACTTCTTTAAAAATATCAATTGCCTATCTAACAATAACTTCTTTATTTGATCACAAAAACTGAACACTAGATAATGAAACATACATATTTTTTAAGATCATAAAAATATATTTAATTCTATGTGTTAACATTAATCAATAACAAAATAAATCAATGATATATTTAATTGAAAATGATATAATTTATTTAGTCTTTCACCGGTGTACTCTTTGATATATTTTAGTAACCTTATCTCAATTACACTCCAAATTGGTATTTGAAAAAGTTAATAAAAATTATGCGACATTAACCCTTTTAGACTTAGCAGATGTTATTAACTGTATATTTATTCAGTAAGGAAAAAAATTTTTTTTACTTACATAATTGTAATTTTTTTTATTGAAGTTCGTAAATTTTACAGAATTTGAAACCCTTGGTGCATATTTGTATTCTGAGCTCAATTTGTGCAGTTAAATATTAGCTTTTCAACCAAATTTAATAAAGTGACAGAATCAATTAAAAAGGTTCTGGATAACATTTCTGCAAATGTTTTTTTTAATAATGACTCAAATTATATTTTTCATTTGAATTCAAAGTGAATATATACAAACTATTTGTAAAATATATTAAATGTCCAATTTACAACAGTTGAAATTCATCTGGATAGTTTTTAACATCTATTTACATTAAATATAATTTTTGAAAACTAACAAATTTATATTTACATTAATTTGGAATGACTTATTGATGTATTTATCCCAATATATGATACATTTCTTAAAGTTGATTCCAATGCAAGATAAAATATTTAATATCTTAATTTACAAATTTCAAATATATTTCTTCAAAAATTCTTGCTGAAGTAGAAGTTGTCTCACTATCTTGAGAGCATGGTATGCATTTGTTTCATTTAACTGATTAATTTGTAGTATTTAAAATATTAAGTGAAAATTGAAACCTTATTTATATGGGTAGGTGGCCAAAAGATTGAAAACAAATATTTTTAAAAATCTTGACTCATTTCAGTTCTTTTAAGATAATTTTCATTTCTTTCGTTTATTATTATGATTAATTTAAAGTTTGGTCTATAAGGGTTAATGTTAAATTAAATAATAATGTAATTTTAAATTTTCAGATGATCAAAATAGGCTAGAGACTAAAATTTATTTTTATACAGAATGAATAAGGATTTTCTGAAAATATATATTTGTATATAAAGACAACTTTGTATATCAGCTGAAAGGAATAAAAAAAGTAAACATTTAATAAGTCGTACATTTTGAGGAAATTATGTACAGTTCTATAATTATTCATATTTTTAAATTTTATACATATAAAGTTAGTTATGAATACAAAGAAGTACAACATGTGTTTAATGACTAGATTCAAAAACTATTCATTGCAAAATAAATTACTCAGAATACATAAAAATGTAATTGAATATAAAATATTGTTAGGTCATAATAGGTAGCATAAAATGTACATAATAGTTGTAGGACATAGACAGCAGAAGTGTTTTAAGTAAAAGTTTTGCGGAGGATGTTGATAAATATTTAAGGCAACATTAAAATTTCTTCAAAGTTTAACTGCTACTATGGATTTCATATACAGAACTTTTTGCCATTATATTTGTTATTCCTTCTACATAATAATTTTAGTTTATATAATTTTATTTACCTCTTCGTAAAGTAACCAAGTTATTTCAGTAAAAGATGAATAAAGATTACATTATGTAAAAAAAGAAAAAAGACTTGATACATTTCATATGTAAAAATTTTACACTTTTCACTGAATAAGTTCATCAGTAGGTTTAAGAATTAGATTTCTCGAAATCATTTTATGAACCCATGCACAAATTCAAAAACAAACCTGTTTCACACGCTTCAACTACATTTTTTTAAAAAGAAAACTTAGTATTTGATATTTTCGCCAATTCTCTTATCATGATTTAAACACTCAGTTATCACATTTTTTTTTATCTTTATTTACTTGTATCAATGAAAAAAAATTTCAAATAATGTATATTGCTCAGTTGTATCATTTTTGTTAATTGTTTATTTATTTTGTAATCAAATTACAACTATTAATAAGAAAAATTAAATTTCATTCCAAAGGTAAAACAACTTAAATAAGAAATAACCCAAGTGTCACTCACCAATTATGCTGAATTTTGTTAAAAAAGCTTTGATGTTTGAAATAAAGAGTTGAAATTTTTTTTATCTCTTTCCCTCGTATTAAATTTTTTTTTTTTTTTTTTTTTTTAAATGGAAGTTATGTTTTTAACAAATAAGGGGTAAAAATATATTTAATGGAATAAATTTAAAGGATTTAAAACCACTTAATAGATGAAGAGAAATTATTTATTTTAATATATTGATTTGTTGTTAAGTAAGTAATACATTGTATAATATTTGAAACACAGTTTTTCTTTAGTTTCTTCATAGTATAATCAAAATTTGTTTTTAATAGAAACTTAAAAAATTATTGAAAAATGTTTTTTTTTGTAATCTTTCTCTGAAAAATTATTTATTTTTCTCACTTAAAAATGTTAATTAATTAAATTTTAAAATTTAATAACTATTTAAATTTTTAACATATCACTCTGAATTTTAATTTCTACACTTATTTTATCAATATCTATAATCTATAAAACTTTCAAGTAAATTGGTTAAAAATAAAAATATAAAAATTTGAAACCCCCTTGTCGCCTTAAAAATAAAATTTTTTTTGAAAATAAAACTTAGCACTTAAATATTTTTTGGAATAAACAAGGTAGTCTATAATAAAAGTTACTAAGTTGTGAGATGTTTGGAAGTTAATCTTATACTTTTAACATACTTAAATAAAAAGTATGCTTGAATTAAAGCAAACTTTTACGTTTAACATTTTTTCTTAGGAAATAGAAGTTTGCATATTAGGAGTTAAAAGATGCAGTTAAAATCAAACAATAACTTTATAATTATTTGAAAATATGTAAAATGTTTTCTCCACATTATTTTTTAACCTTTAAATCTACTTATATACACAATTCCAATTTAGTTGGGAAGTGACACTTTGAGTGACTTTTGGTCTGTGGAGGTCCTCATTGTTTGCCCTCATAGTTCATATATACCTAGCCTTCCGTTCGTATCTATCTTAGCATGTATCATTGCATTTATATACATTAGATAGTTATTTTCAAATAGGAGTAAGAAAAGTTTGTCTCAAGGAGCGTGATGAAAATATTTTACAACAATGAAGCTAAAATTTTTTTGGACGTTTGTGTTTTTTTCTATTTCATGCTTTCTACCCAAATATTTAAACTTAGGGTTTTGAGGTGTAGAGGGAAAAAAAAACTAGATAGGTAACTACCCACTATCCTTGAAAAAAGAAAAAAGTATACTTTATGCAAACCTGTTGAAAAAGTTTTTTTCAAACATTTGTTGAACTAAAAAAGCAGAACTAGTGATTAAAATATTTTAAATCTTATTCATCAAAATTCAGTAAGTAATCTATCTAACCATGATTTTACTAATATATATATATTTAATAACTGAAATAAGTACATGAAAACTATTGGTATAATTCAAACTAAATCAGAACGCATAAGAGTAAAAAGAGGGCTGAAAGTAATTAACCCAAAAACCAACCAGATCCTGCTATTGATTCTATCTTAGATGGGATAGAGGAAACATTAATATGCTATTTTCATTTTAAAATTGTCAGGTTAAGGAAAATACCATGGTTAGCGAGGCTTTTGCCCCATGTCTATGCTTTATTGCACATTCTCAATCATTTGTAACGTTTGTGTATTTTTTTAAATAAAAGCTTTTTTCTGAAGCTTAAATGTGCTTAGTGCTCTCTTCATAAGTGGGTAGATGACGTGTATGACAAAAGTTCATTAGAAAAACATATTTTATAAATAAATTACTTTTCAAGGAAAAGCAGAGCAAAAGTGCCATCTGCAAGTAAATGAACTGATCTGAAATATATCTTTTTTTAGACACGTTACTTTCTAATTTTTCTGTCTTATTTTTAATACTTTATTATGACACATTATGTATTTTAGGAAAATATGTTCAAGCTCGCATTAGAATGTAAACGTTTCAAATTTTATAAATATTAAATATCTTTAATGGCACACATGCTTGTTAAATTCAAAAGCTTTTTATTTTAAAAATATGTCTGATACAGATTATAGTTTTACCCAATCTTAAATAGTATATCCTATATTTCTTAAGCTCTTATACAAATAATTTGGTATGATTTGAAGCAGTTCTTTAAATTTTTACTTGAAAGTCTATTTCACAAAACAATTCCTTTCTTTCACGCAATATTTTTTAAAATTCAATTATCATTATATTTTTGTCTTTGTATGAAAACAATAATGAAAAGTGATTGATTAACTATAGTGAAATATTTAACTATACAAAACACGCTTTATTTCATAGAATTTTGTGCAAAATTGCAAATTGCAAAATTGTCTCTAATCGGAATATTAAAAGTTAGGTTTAATGAGCTTTTATTTTTGAAACTACTGCTATTGATTATATTTTTACTCGTTTCTCTCAAGAAAATCTAGTTCTTGACAAAAATTACAATTTTATTTGGTATTAGTTAAGTAGCCAATAGACTATATCTTCTCTATCTATCTTTTACATAATTTTGAAAATCCAGAATCAGACAATTGGTTGAATAAGTTTTTATGGCTTTAAAAAAGTTTTCTTATTGATTTATTTTCATCTGTTTCATTATACTTGCAAGTTAATTCAAATTGACGCAGTACCTTAGATAAATGTTATCAAAATTTAGCTAATTGTAGAAAATGTAATTCGTAAAAAATATAATCTGAATCTGTCTAATTAATCGAATTACTTGTTACTTTATAGCAAAGATAATATTTAAAAAATATCTCATTATAGACAAAAAATAAAATACATTTATTTGTAGTTCTTAGGTTAAATGCCTGAGATAATTTTGAAACTATAGTTTAAATTAGTTTTGGAAATTCTTACCAAATTTATGATACAATATTTTTATTATCCATTAATAAAGTTAGTAGATTTAACTGATAATTAGTGCCACACATTTAAAATTATTTTATTTAATGTGATAGTTTTTATATTTAGTTAGACTCATAATCCATAAAGACTGATTCCCAAAGAGAGGTAACTAAAAATTTCAATCATTCTTACAGAAATATTGTCTTGTAAATTTTTAACCATTTATAAACATTAGGACTCAAGCAAAGCTTAGCGTATTTTACGCTTGCTTTCTTCACACCACAGAATGCCATATTATTCAGGACGGGAAAGATATTTAAGGACGGGCTTATGTTCACAAGGACGGGATGTTAAAAATTACTCGGTGAAATATAGGAATATAAAACAATTTTTAAATTGTGAAGTTGCGTTTAACTGAAAAAATTAGATACATTTTTCTGTTATCCATATTAATAACTTTTTTAGTTTTATATATATTTTTAATTGTGTCTCTTTGATTACATTTTAGTAAATTAAGCCCATATGTCCTCTACTGGATCACTCAAATTTTTCACCAATGTGTGAACTTTTCTTTGACATATTTTAATTTCTAAAAATGTTTTTGACTGTAAATATTATATTTCCAGCAATAATTAATCTTTTGAATAATAATTTTTCTTTATAATGATTTAATTATATTGAGCATTATTAAAAAAATTTAAAATATCATTAAAGAATTCATTTTAATTTAAAAATGAGCATGTTTAATACTGCTTATTTTAGCAGTTTTTTCTTCACATTGAATTTTTGACTCCACATAATAGCTAACTTTTAGCTATAATAACTCCATTACACATAATAGCTCCAATTGCATGTAAACAGTATTAAATTACATGTAAATGGAGTCAAAAATATAGAATATTGGAGGAGAAATAAAGAATGCTTGACATGATTTATTTTACAAAAAATATGTCAATGATTTGAAACTTTTCAAAGTTTCTAGATGATTTTAAACTACATGGAAACGTCACTATCAAATTTTCAAAGTTTAACTTTTTCAATTTGACTAATTTTCAATGAAATTCAGTCTAATTATATAACTGGTTTTTAGTGTGATAATATAATATAACGACAAATCTGAAAGTTTGACTTTCACATAATAAAACTTTAAGACTTGAAAGCCAAGAACAAAACTTACATAAATATTTTGAGACAATGCATTATAATACAATCACTAACTTGCCAGATTTCAATCGTCCTGAAAGCAGGATATCATTCCTATTAGCGATGAAAATTTTTTATCAAGAAAAAACAGTTTATCAAGGAGAAAATTTTAATGTTGTTTAATTGTTTTTCAATTTTTTTCCTAGTAAAAGTGAAATGAAGTATAAACGGTTGGTAGTGAGCTTCATATCACTATATAAATGCAGATCTTTTTTATGCTTATCGTTTTTGAGGAAATACACTGTCCTTTAAAGAGACAGAAAAATTGAATGAAATTCTTCACTTATAAGAACCAATTTAAAACTCTTCATCCAAATTCCTGTTGAAAGCCACATTATGAATCCAATTGATCCCTTGTCTGTAGGTCAGAAAATTATACGGAATGAAGTGTAGGAAATGAAATGAACGCATAACTACTTTTAAGTTGTTCTCATGCTTTATCATGAACCCTGAGGAAAATATTGTGCACCTTTGCAAGACCGCTTCCAACAACACTACTTGTACTAGATGAAGTGGAAGTCAAAGACGCCCGGGCTGTTGATTCTGATTCTGTATTTACAGACATCAACGATGAAGTTCTTCGTGGGAGACGTGATCGAGCATATGGAGATGGCTTGATTGCATTAGTATATGGGCAAACTTCTATTATAGGATCATTGGTCCAGAGCTCCTATTAAAAACACAATGCAGAATTATTAAAGAATCATGTATGAAAAATTTAGCTTTGGCTGCCATCTTATGTTTTCAAATTAAATGAATGTATTTTTACCTGATTTTTTGATATCAAACATAAAGTGTTAGTTTACAAGAAGCCATTTAGCTATAAGGACTCAATTAGACGAAATAATAATTGTAATTAAATTCTTGCTGAATTTTATTGACCATCATGAATTAATTATTTGTAGTTTATGATCCAGTTATGTGTCTTGGTAAACTTATGTTATAGGATTATTGCTCCTAAAAACAAACGGTGAAAATTCTCCATTGAGTGATGGCCAACTAATGTTTTCAAATGAAATGAACGTATTTTAATTTCATTTTTTGAAATCAAACCTAGTGTTGAAGGAATCGGAACTATATGGATTTTATTTATCCCACTAGAAAAAAATAATATTACTTAAATTTTTGCTGAATGTTATAATGAAAAAGGTTGTGCACCCCTATGGTACAGTCTTAGAACCATTCTTAAAATAGGATTATGAGAGTTAAAGGGTTAACTTGAGTTTTTAATAAAGCAAATACTTACTTCATTACCCACTTTGGTCCACTTAAGCACTGCTTCATCATCTCCATAACATCCTGCACAGCTAATGATAGTAGGCTCAGTACCGCATCTAAAAATTTTTTTATTACATTTAAATCTCTTTCGTTGTATGCAATAAAAATTGTATTCAGAGTAAGATAAGCGAATGAAATAACCTGTTTTTAATATGTGAATATTTTTACATATTTGGTTATGGCTATTTATCAAAATTTTGAGTTAATTATTCGTGGAAGGAAAGGAAAATTCTAAATGTCTTACGCAGTAATCAAAAATTGGATAATGTGATAAACATTATTTTTTTTTATCATAATTTTAAAAATTATCTACAGAAAATCTATGGTTATACATTACTAAATTAAGTTTGAACTTCAAAGAATCTCTAAAAGATAGTAAGGTAAAACAATGCATAATCATTATTATTACACTTGTTTTTGGTGATGATTATAAACTTAACATGAATTTAGATAAATTTGTAGAAAAATGGAAATGAATTGTTAAAATGGAATGTTTGTTTTAAATAATTACTCCTTTAGGATTTACTTTAAAAAAAAGAAAAGAAAAAAACCTAGTTTAATATTAGACAGTTAGAAATTCCAGATCTATTTTTATAAAAAGTTATTTAAAACTTTGTTTAGGAATTTTTGAGTTACGTGTTTAATTTTTATACTCTTAAAAATCATTAAGGAGAGTCGGTAAGATATTTTTCAATGTACCCTTTCTCAGTATCTAAACTAGATATTGCTAAATTTTTTTCACACAGTATTTACGTATATGCGTTTACACTGTTATACTGTTATAACTGTTAATGCATATCTTCGGTGAAATTTTTTTTAAAAAACTATTATGAACTGAGGACTTTTAATTTTTTAAAAAAGTTTAATCATTTTTGAGCAAAAAATCTTTAATAACTCACAAACTATTCCTGTTAACGCTAAAACATTATCACAATTTACAACTGGTATAATCTCAAAAAATTTCAAACCGATATCATAAGTAGTTTCTTAAGATATATCGAAAAAGGTTAGTTTTAGTATTATTGATATATGCCCTACCGACTCCCCTTTATGAGTTGACAAAATGCTTTTTTTTATTACCACAAGTTAAACAAAGCAAGACATAATTAAAGAGAATTTCAAAAAATTACATAGCATAATAATTTTTTTAGCATAATTAAAATTTAATATAACACATAGTTCTGTCAAAAATTTAGAACGAATAAACAAAAATTGGTTTTTAAGGAAAAGGCAAACTAATATAATAAACCAAAATTGAACTATTATGATAAAGAACTAGTAAAAAACAATGGAAAGTGTTATATTGTAAATAGAATCTTAATGTTCCCTCTCTCCGTTACTATGGTTACGGAAATTTTTGCTTTTTCCACTCTTCAGTAGGTTTCAGTAAGAAGTGGGAATATACCCCCGTGGGTAAAAAGCAAGATTTGTGGATACTATGGTAACGGAGAGGGAGGAAATTGCGCAAAATTGAGAAGCCTATTCTATTTACAAGGAGTATCCCTTTATATAGAAAGAGTTTTTATACTTTTTGTTCAAAAATTATTCACTGAATGACAATCATATTTTGTGCTCTACAGAGTATACGGTTTTGATTTCCGAATATAAAAATAATTGGTTCAAGCTCCTTAACTTAAACTACAGGATGGGGTAGCGTTGGAGTTCTAGTATGTATTTTGCCAAAAACGTCAGGGATTAGAAACTTTTCTGCCTTTATAACGAGTGGTAAAAAAAAGCTTCATTAAATTATGATTTTAATTACCATAGCATTAATTTTACCAGATATACCGTTATTCGTCATAACAATACATATTTTTGCCCTTCTCAAAGGATTTTGAACTCTTTAATTAGTTTTTAACTTGTACAAATTTTTTTTTCCTTTGAAACTGTTTGTGCAGGTAATTTTCAGAAATTAGCAATTTATTGTAACAATGACGCCTTTCTACCATCGACTGAATTTTAAATTAGTTTTTCAAATATTGAAATCGCGAAGTTGAAGAGTTCGCTTATACGATTCAGTTATGATTTAGGCTACAGTTTTTTTTTTTTTTTTTTTTTTTTTTTTTTTNACCATTTTTTTTTTTTTTTTTTTAACTGGAGGTGTGTAAATGTCTTGTTTAATTTTCATCTTGCTGAGTTTCATGCATTTAATTTTAATTTTTTTAAAAAGTAAAATAAAACAAAGCAAAAATCATGTTGATGACTGCATTGACGAAGATAAAATAACTACAAAAAAGATGAGTTTCCACAGTTAAAGGAGTTTTCATAAATTTATAAACTTTTACGTAAGTTCAGATGTATTATAAAATTTAACAAGCAAAACTCGAATATAATTCGGTCGAATTAAAAAAAACATATATACTTTATATATTTCAAAACTTCATGTAAAATATTAGATAATATCTGATGAATTTTGAAAAACATTAAAAATTTCGATTTTTATTGGTTACTTTATCTGAATTTTGTAGTCTATAAATGAGGAAGAGTTTGATAAGCTGACATGATTGCGTTGGTCTATGCTACGCCAAACGCAAGGTAAGAAACTTAAAATAATAAGCACTTTTAAATAATGAAATCTAATGATGCAATAAATTTATCTGATGCAATAATAATAGGGAGAAGAAGAACAAAGATATAATTATGTAAACTGCTAATAAAAATGAATTTAATATAGTTAAGTTCATCCATATTATTAATTGTCTTATGTTTAAATTATTAAATGATAATTGGGATCATATATACACAACATGAAGCAAAATTAATCTATCTTAAATTAATAAATATTATACATAATAATGTCGGAATGAAAAATAAATATTGTGTATTTCAAAATGAGAATAAATCAAGCATTGAAACAGTTATTAAAGCAGACAACAGATATTAAAAACTATATAAATAGCCATCTTTTAAGTACTTTTATAAAAAAACTATCAACTTTTGACGTACAATTTTTATTAAACATATTTCTCATACTTTTTTTCATTATTTTGAATTAATTTTGGTCATAATAAGTGAAAAATATTATTAGTAGCATTTTAATAATTTATGGTTATGAAATACAGCGTGAAACACCGTTGTCGTTTTCTCCGTTAAAGGTAAAATCTTCCAAACACGGGCCACTTCCAGGCAATAATTTTTCAAATATGTACATATTTGCATTTATTTAGATCTAAGAGAAACAGTTATTCATTATCAAAATTTCTTTAATTTACAAAATCATATTTTGATAAATATTTGAATAGGAATGAAAAAAAAAATCTAACTACACTTTTTGGATTTTATATTTTAGTACAAATACCGATAGTCCAGCAGATTTTTTAGTAAATATTAGACTGCTTTTTATTATTAAAAAATACCAAGATATATTTATGTTTGTAACTAGAGCGTTAGAATAAATATATAAAAGGAAAGCCAGTGTACTATCTGCTTCAATGAATTAAATTGCAATTTATACTAGAAGAGAATTCAGAAGCTACCTCTTGTCTTTTTATTAAAAGGAAAGGTTGGAGCAATATAATAGTACGCCACACTTTTTCTAAGGTGTTTGCCGGAAACTATTCCTCATTATTGTTTCTAGATAAGTATTCAACAAGTTACCGGAATTTCCACTACATAGCTGCAGAGCATACAAAATCGTGTTTTTTTTTTCTAAAATCTTTTCAGGCGAATTTGAAAATGTAGCTTATAACTATACAGCCCCAACCCTCTAATTATTATATGCTTTATGTCCTTACCTTGTTTCTAACAAACACTTAATGGGTTTATCAGATATTTTAATTTTTTCTTGAAGATTAAGTTCAAAGGCATATGGCACTTCTGTAGAGGAAAAAGATACATTACTAGCAGTCTCACTGCTTTTATGCGTACTCCAGTCTCCGAGCTGAAGAATATCTCGGGTACCACTCACCGAAGAGTCTGTCACCGAGTCTTCATAACTGAAAGAGTTTAGCGGAGCTTCAGACGCTTCATTTTCAGATGTCACAGTGCCCCATGTGGGCAGTTGAGTTCTAACATCTTTTAATCGTGAAAATGAAAATCCAGCTGATGAAGTAGACGCAGTATCAAACCAAGATGATTTAGCATCACTTAACCATAGATCTGTTCTTTGTGATAAAGCAGAGCTTGTTCCAGAGTACTCCAGAACATTAGAGGATCGACGTTGCGTTAACGCTCTTACTTTGATTGATTCTAAAATGCCATCCGTTTCACGAAATATTTTATTTCGCGCGGAGGATTCGTCTTCAGTATACGAAACGAAAACATCATCAAAATCATAACTATCACTTGCCAATGACGAAGTTAACGTTTCTTGAGATTTCACCCATTGAGTCACATCATCAGCACTGATAGCTCTCAAAAGTGCATTGTTCTTAATTTGTTGTGATATGTTTGGAATTTCACTTTTTTGAGAATCTGTTGATTGATGTGAACCTCGGGAAGACCTTTTTACTTCGTTTTCTCCATTGCAATTTGGAGGGAGTTCGACAGAGCTGTCTGACCAAGAGTCTTCTGCAGATTTTCGTTCACTTTGGGAATCGTTTGTTTTGACCTGCAAATGGATTAAAATATATTAATGATAATTTTTTTCAGAAAAATAAACTTGAAAATAAATTTAGAATTTTTTTTATTGATATATTTGAAACATAATGAATCTAATAAATGTACAACTGAATATTTCATGGTAGTGAAATATAATTATACTCAGATAGTCATCAAGGCCCGATTTAGAAATCCCGGAGCAATAAACACAAAACTGTCAAGAGCCATAATGGTCGGAATCTTAAATCAAATGTATATATTGTTTATATATGAAATTTTGAATGATTTATAACTTGAGAGAATTGTAATATAATTAGAAAATTTAAGCTTATAATTATTTCAATTTAAGCTTATAATTATTCTGGTAGTAAAATATAATTATATTTAGATAGTCATCAAGGCTCGATTTAGAAATGCCGGAGCAATAGGCACAAAACTGTCAAGAGTCATACTGGTCGGATTCTTAAATCAAATGTATATATTGTTTATATATGAAATTTTGAATGATTTATAACTTGAGAGAATTGTAATAGAATTAGATAATTTAAGCTAATAATTATTTCAATTTTTGTTAATTCTTAATTCTAGAGAGACAATTCGTAAGGAAAAACACAAAAACATTACTTGCAAAGTTTCAGGGGCCCCAAGGAATCTGTATAGAGAAACTTATCTCAAATAAAATATAGCTGTCCTTCCGGAGTAAGGAATAGTTTTTGAAAAATATTGCAACCATACATATTTTTTTATTAACTATTTAAACAAAATGCGCGCTTTTAGTACATTTACTGTCCTAAATTTGATTATACTGCATTTAATAACAGAAACCGAATAATTGCCTTATAAAGAAGACGTAAAATAATCAAACCCTTGAGTTATTTCTGTGATAGAGCTTATTAATTTGTTTTGTTGAGTAAATTGATTTAAAATATAATTTAAATTTTAAATTCAAGGTGCTAGTTAGAAGATTTGGTTGGAATTCCGGTTGATAAAAAAAGTACATATGACTTGAACTCAAAAATTTTCTAGATTAAAATATATAAATTAGATAGATAATCCTTAACTAAATGAAATTCTGCTTACAATTCATGATTCTAATCCTAATGCATTTTAAAACTTAAAGCAATAACTTTGAAAGGTTTAAAAATAGGCTCACCGGACAAAAGATTAGTCACCTCTAAAGAAATCAAGAAAAGTTAAAGGTGGTCTGAGATTTTTCTAGATTGGGATAGTTAACATAAATCAGGATGCTTTTTTAGCATTCTAGATGATCAGCTGTTGCCTTTCAGTTCATTCGTTAAAGATTAGTATGCTGTTGATACTATACCCCTATTTTTCAAGACCTTAACAGCATTGAGCTGGAAAATATTTGACTGGTTTCTCGATTATATCTCGATTGGCCTGTAAAATCATCTGGCTTGAAACCTTAGAAATTTGTGTTACATGTTTGAAATAGCGGAAAAACGTTTAAATCAGCACCCCCGCAATTTCATGAATTTACATGATCAGCTTGAAGTGGATGCGAGGTATCTAATAAACTTTTTGGACTCACTCATTAGCCGAAAACATGCAGTTATCAAGACCAAACGCGTAATTAAATGATATTAAATGATGCTCTTCAAGATTTTTCAATGGGAGACTGAATTTTTGTCCGTAGTTTAACATAAGTACTTACTCTACTTTCATCTTTCTTTAAATTTTTCTCCAAGGAAATAGTTCTATTTTGTGTACTATTGAGGAGGTTTTGATATCGCGTGTTATAATCCACATGGTTCGTTGAATTAATGCTTAAACTATACTTGTCAAACAGCTTTCGCAAAGCTTCACTAGCTTCTAAAAGGCAATGTCGACATTTCACAGTGTTTGAACCAGAATGAGTACAGGTACAAAGTCGTTTTGTCGTTGTGTCTATGATTTTTCCTGGAGCTGATGAATGTCCAGAATCATCTCGATCAGTATCAATTTTTTTCAAGTTGTCCTCATTCTGCTCTTCATAAGATTGGGATTCAGGAGAGGTTAAAGATGCTCTTTCTGCTGTATCAGCTCTTTTCACAGTCGAATGACTTGTGGCTTCACTTTGATCTTCCGGAGAGCTACATTCTAATTCTGCTTCTTCTTGAACTTCTTGAGATAATTCGACTGCAGCATTTTCTGGTGAATTCTGGCATTCATTATTTAATGGAATGAGAAGAGAAGATCTGCGAGGTGTGGTGTAACAGCCACTGTCTACTCGATGACGACCATCAGAATTGTCTTCTCGTTTTTTCTCCATTAACAGCTGCTAAAATTAATTTAAACAATTAAATTTAAAAGCGTGCAAAAGTAGAAAGAATATTTGATAATTTTTTTCTTTTATAAATTAAGTACATTTTAAATGATACCGTAAAAGGAATTTAAAACAAGATATTTAAACTTCTTATTTATGAGAAATACGTGGTGATTAAATTACTTTGTGGATATATTTGTTCTTCTGGCAAACATATCATTCGAGAGAATGGAGTAAAATTTTGTTAAAAAACCTAATGAGGCTCAAGAAAAGTGTTAAGAACGATTATTCAGCTCTGACGATTAAGGTTACAGTATTATAATTTCGAAATTTTAAAACAGCAGCATCTTTTTTTCTTCAAACTGAGAACTTTAAAAAAAAAATGAAATTAAGTTGGAAGGCTGTTTTCAGCATGGATAGTGGCGGCGATGCTAGGAAGAGATGAAGAAAAAAGCAAGAAAACAACACGCAACAATTCAAATCACTTAACCTTCATCTGTCTTCACATTGACTTTCGGAGCGACAACTTATAAAATATTCTTATCTTCATTTCAACTGAACGCCGTTATTTTTCATAATAAAAATATCGTTTTAATTCCATTTTAAGTTTTACTAAGAGCATCATATTTCGATAAAAAAAGATTAGTGTTGCCATTTGAAAATTTCTAAATTTGGTTATTGTAACCGCAGCTGTGAAAGTTAAATAATCGTTCATGATCCTATTCTTGAGCGCACACCTTATTGTCTATTTATACAAAATTTTATTCTGTTTGCTTGAACGGTATACACACTACGCTGTTAAAAATTTCGAGCCACGTTGCACCAAAAATTGGTATTCGTTTGCAGGCTATATAAATGGAGTTCCATTTTATCATATTTTGGTATCTTCACTAGCTTCAAATATCAGTAGAAGATTGCACTAAAGGTAGGTGTTTCGAAGAAACAAAACACCTATTTTCATTCTTTCTCTTTTTTCTTTTATAGAAGCAGAGGAAGGTTGCACCATTATTAGGTATTCTCAAAGTGCTCAAATGTAAGCCAAGGTTGCTATTTACCGTAACAAAACTATTTACCAGAAGTAGGTTATTTTATGACATACCTCTAACCATTTTCTACCTCCAACCAAATTCAAAAAGGCAACATAAAAGAAATAAACTTTAATTAATGCAAATAAAACATTTACCTATCTAATAAATAAGTTGATACTTGAAACAACATGCATTAGTAGCCCCCATACACCGAGATCGAGTTGTAAAAAAAACAGGGCATCGTTAGCAAATATTGTACAGTTTACAGACATCGTTTTGTGTCTTTTATTAAATTTTGGTGCAGTCAGTTGCACCATGGAAGTATTTCTCGATCATACTTTACATTTTATGGTGTAGCTAAAATAAAATGATCTTTCATTTAACTGAACTTAGGGATAATGAGAAGCTTTGCTCCAAATACTGTTTAAAGATTTACTAAGTTTTATTTTTTTACAGTGTAGATCTACCATCAACAAAGTTATTTTATAACTGTACCTGTACACTTAATCTTAAATTTTTTCTTTTTGTAAATTTATAGAAACCATTTCATTTTAAATGTGATATGAATTGGTTTTGGTTGCCAACTAGAATTATACTACTAGATTACCTAATTTTAATATAAAATATACATTTACACGCTTTTATTTTAAACAAGAGATGCGAACTACCTGTATTTTTTGTTGAATATGATCTGCAACAGGCTGTCTTCTATTACTTGGAGTCGATCCAAACTCAGCAGTACTTGGACTTCTTGAGAGCTTCGTTACAACATCATATATTATGAGAGAACCCTCTGCAGTACCAACAATCACGCTGCCTGAGAGCGGTAATAAAGCTGTTATCCTAGAACCTCCAATTTCTTCTTCACCAGTCTAATGTTTAAAAGAAAATTTGTAAATAAAACTATTCATGTATTACGCTGTTTTCATAATTAGTTTACAGCGTTGTTATAATTGAAAGAGAGGTTCTTTTCCTGCCTTTCTTTTTAGAAAGTTCTGCACTAAAATGGCGGAAGCATTTAAAGGTTTTATTTAAAATAAAATGAAATATCTTTAATAAAAATCAAAAGTTTAATTCCTGTGTTGTATAAATTTTGTTACCAAGAAAAGGTACCCATACTTGTTAACATTACATTTAAAGCTAGTATATGCTTAAAGCACGTTTAGTTGTCTTTTGATTAGTGTTATTAAATGTTTGAATACAAGTATTTTCTGAGTGACCTTATCGTTTTAACATAAATCATGTTTCAAAAGCGGAATGGAGAAATGCCCTATTCAGCTTGTATTTAAAAAGATTTAAAAAGATTGCTAAGGGAAGAAAATGTTCACATTCATAGTTAAAGATAAATTTACTATAACCTTTTACTCATTTGTAATATCTTACCCGTACTTTCTTGCAAACTCCGTCTTAAGAGATTAGATTTATTGAAACTAGCTATTTAAAATTTAAAACTATATAATTATAGGGCAAGTTTATTTTTTCTGCATTTCCATTTGTTTTATATGTTTTTATAATTAATTTCCCTTACCATCCCGTTCTGCCCTATACCTGGGACACGACAGGATACCTGATATAATATTCTGTTTTCGAATAAACAAATTTTATTTTCCAAAAAAATATTGTATTTTTAAGAACATAAAAATATAATGTGTTCAAAGAAACATTTTCTGCTTCTTTTAATCATCTATTAAGTATTTTTAAAACATATTTTAAACTTGGTACTCCGCTCTACCCTGCTTTACCTATATTCTCTTCAAACGATTATTATTTCATTTAAAGTTTCAGTTTGTTACTTAAGAAGTAAATTTTTAAAGAAAATGCAAGGATATTTTCATTAATGCTTTTAAAACATGTTTCTTGTCAGTGTAGAAAAATGGCTACTGTATTTTATCGTACATAAGGACCTTGATTTTCAAATTTTTGTGCTCCAAACAATGTCAGTTTAATCATGGCTTCCACGAAATCTTTTATTGATACTACTATTGATAATTTGCTACAGAAAAAATAAATGATGTTAGTTCGAAGGTAATGTTACAAAAATAAACTAGTATATATTTTATACAATTGATATAATAACTATTGAACTGTTTTCTGCTATGTGATTCGCTACAATTTTATCGACTTGCTACTAAGTATAAAATAAAATCTATAATTGCAGATTCTAATTTCATTCCATTGGTAAAGTAGCTCATGCTGGTTGATGATCTGTTTTAAGAATGTAACTGTAGTTAGCTTCTAAGGTAAGAGCAGCCAAATTTTAATACCTTAAAATGGTTGTTTCCTTGTGTTAAAGTATAAAAAATTCTTCAGTCAATCACATATTTCTTAAATTCAATTTAATAACTAATATTTTTCATTACTCAAATAAGGCAAACAAAGATGCTGGGAGTTTCATAATTGACTGACGATTTGAAATATCAATTAAAAAAAAAAAAGAATGAGCGGAGATAGGAGTGAACTGTTTCTCCGCATTTTGCTTCAGGATTTATTTTTTTCACTAAATTTCCAAATTAGTTAAAAAGTTTTTCAATATGTGGCGCTGATGACTTTGAAACTATGAGGGTAGGAACGAATTATAGTGGCAACACTGCTATAGAGACAACATGCAACGGAAACGAATAATGTCGCTTATGCTACACGTTATTTACATACCTACCTTACCTCAGAGCAAATGAGCTCAAATTGACATTTTTGCGACATTAGCTGTATGAGCACTAACGAGAAGAACAGAGTCTCATATTAGCCGGTGGTCTAATTTAGTGTTGTCATGATATTTTCGAAAGTGGAGCATAGGAATTGCGTAGACATTGAATCTGGTAGAATTCAAATGGCGTGAGAGTATCATCGGGGTGTTAAAGCGTCTTGCAGAGTATCTTCATTATCTTACAGAAAAGGGACAAGATGGGGGTTAGAAATCTTTAATGAGAGGTACCAAAATTTGTCAGACATACACTGCTAGGTCATCCTAGTGTCAGCGAAGAAGAAAAAGGTCTACTGTTAAGAAAGTGCTGTACCACTTAAACTGTGACTGAGACCTTAGACTTACTCTGTGACCTAAACGAAGAAACCATTTCGAAGCACTCGCTTTAGAATTGTTCTACAGATTCTTCAGGTTGTAGAACATTCCATCAAAATTATCAACAGAACAAGCGCTGTTAAAGTTATCCTACGACTTACATATCACGAGCAACAGGTAGACAATGCTGGTGACTATTGACATTGAAGAACAATTTAACTTGATAACGCGTATCTTTTTGTACCAGTTTCGAATAAAAAGTTGCCACAGTAAAAGTTCTAACTCTCGTATAAGACAATATTTTTTGCAGCATGCGAGATCATTTAAACTGAAATATTTGGCTACAGGCGTCAGTTAATTATGTCCTTAGATTGACCTAAATTATTGCAGCATATGGTTGCTATTTTAAAAAGATTGTTTCCTAGCTTTTTTAGTTAAAGCACCATCGGTTGACGAACTTATTAACTAAATTTGATACTTGGTTAGAAGAAAAGTTTCCTAAGCAGAACACAGAATACAGTGCATTTCTATCCTTTCCATTTTATTAAAAAGATGATTTCTCAAATTGTCCATTATATTCGGGACATCCGGTACATTTTGTGCAACAGATTATTCGCAAGCAATAAATTACATGATGTTCGTAACTCGAAAATTATATTTCTTGCAAAAAAAAAAAAAAAAAAAAATCTAAATGCAGAATTTTTCTATACTTTAACTTTAGGAAAAACTTCTATAAGTCTTAATGTATTTCAATAATTAATTAAAGAAAGTAAACTTTATAACGGAACTTAAATGCATGCATAAGCAGACATGCGTGTTAATTGTTCCTTAATGCCTAAAATGTGCTTGGAGTTCATGCATTTATGTTTTACAAAAATTGCTCACTCAGTATGTCATAACCACATGAAAAATTGATTTTCTCAACAGACCCTTGGTAATCACTAAGAAAATAGATTTTTGATGTTAATGTCATTCAATTTGATTAACAAGTTTAAAATATATCTGAATTAGAATATTGAAAAGTATACTAACTATCGATAAATCCGAAGAACTTATGACAAGTTTTGAAATACATATGTTTAACACAGTAGTAATACTTGCTGTTTCAAAGTGTAAGAATTCGTTTCCTACCTTTGGTGTGAAAAATATAGGTGCCGATAAATTTATCAATTGCTGCGTTTTGCAAATTACATGAAATATATTTCCACGTAAATTGTTCCTTTTTTGTGCGTGGTTCAATATTCGTTTGTAAGCTCTCGTTCTGTGGATCAACAAACAGACACGAGGAGGTGCCATTCATTCTCTGAAATATATTTAGACTTAGAGTTATCGATAGAAAAACAAGTCTACACTACCATTTGCTTTAAATTTTAATTTGTTTTAAATACACTGTTAGAATTTTCATTCTAAAATTTTGATAAAATAACTGGCAGCAGTTTGTCTGTCCAATTAATGGTAAAATTTATAGTAAAGAACTTTTTCTAATTTTACGGTATAAAACCATAAACACAAGCTAGCCTTTTCGTTCGGTTACGCGAATTGGAGAATGCATTACGCAAATCGAGGAGTGCAGGATACTGGAAACTCTTCATTGCTGTTCTTGTATTGAAGGGATTGGAAGAAATATTGTGGTGCCAATGTTGGAACTCGAAAATCCTCGTCCTGTAAGTCCTGAGATGACAGATTAGCCCTCTCGACTACAATATGTACTCAGCTGTAAGGAACTAAGTGACTTTATTAGTTTGACCTAGTTGGTGCGATAAAATTCTGGTTGTTTAACCATATTAAGTGAAAGCAGTTAACAAGCGGTTTTTCTAAGAGTTAACAGTTTGAATACCATCTTATTTATGGTTATTTGATTGTTTTGTCGAATGTGATAAAATAGCAATTAAATAAATTGTTATCAAACTTTTTTTCCCGAGAAATTTCTAACAGTGTAGTTTGAAAAGTATGATTTTTCATGAACTTATCAATTTGCAAAAGCGCATTAAAATCTAATTTCTCTAGTAGTATTTGTTCTTCAACTTGATACCTATAAATACTAATACTAAATATGATTTTGGAATAAATAAATAAATACTAAATAGGATTTTGGGAATAACTCTTGATATGCTTATAAACAATTAATAATTTTGAATTTTGTTGTAAAGTTTCTATTAAGTTTATGATATCATTAATTTGTTAGCTTTAAAGGTTTTTATAATAATTTCTTGAAGCAAGTATTTTTAAAAACTAATTAAAAGAAAATAACTTAAGCATATGACAAAATTTTGTTGCTTGGGAATTAAAATATTTAATTACGATAGTTATGGCATGTATATATTTAAGTTTCTTGCAGCCATTAATATTACAAAAATATTTTATAAAAGATAAATTTACCTTTGGAGATCGTGGATATTTATTGTCTTTTACATCAAACAGAAGTTTACAGGTCAATGTATGAGGATCCCAAAGTTGTAGTACAGATGATCCTCTGATAGTTAGCCATACTCCTCGATCGTCAGATACAAGCATTGACAGGTAATCTAAGCAACTCGATGATGTATGAAACTGATCTACCGAGTCTAAAGTTCTAAATAAAGCAAAATTGAATCATAGAAAGGTGGACGTAGGAGCAATAACGGGTTGTAAAGTAGAAAACAATTTTTGTAGCAAAAACTAGATTAAGTTGATTTTTAACAATGGTTGGAATTTTTTTAAATGAAAAAAAATTTGAAGGCCTTTATAAAGTTTTTAAAATGGGCGTTTACTCGTTCTATGTTTCCTCAAAATTTAAAAAAAACAAACAAAAAAAAACGTTAAGAAAATTTTGTGTTTTTGCTAAAAACAATTTCAAGTATATATACAAATTTAAAGCTAGTTATTTAATTTAAGATTTTTTTTTAAAAATAATTTTTTCATTCGGCTTTTTTTCCCAGCATTTCTATTTCTGCTTAATTCGTTTTAATGTTTTCAGTTGTCTTAAGACTAGACACAATTTCTTAAAATGTTTGTATAATTATTACTTTTAATTGCATTTCCTGCATTTTTGATACATTACTGAGATACTTTAAGTATTTATTTTTGTTTCTCTTTTGTGTTAAAAGCTAATGATTAATCAAAAGTTGCTAATCTTACATACTACCATTTTGAAAAAAAATGCAAAAATTACTCAGATTTATGAATACGTTACGTTTGTAATAAATGATAAACTAATAAATTTTATGGACCACTTTTCGTACAAAAATGTTGATAAACTTTTAATGCTTTTTGATAAAAATAATTTTGATTTGGTTAATTTTACTGTTAGAAAAGCCTGAAACTGGACCAGGCAATTTTTAAACTGGTCATTAAAATAAAAATAAAAATATTTTAAAACTGAAAATGTAAATGTAAAATGTATATTTCTTTTTCCATAATATCTCCAAATTTGATTTTTTTTTTCACTTTAAATTTAGGTCTATCACTTTTATCACAGCTTGTTTAAATATTGCATTAACAACATTTAATTTCGGATAAAATGTAATAGTAGTTCCACAATAGTCTCAATTTAATTTATTAAAATATTCATTTCATTTTAAAACGACATTAGAAGGAACTAATTCTATCTTTAATAGACTCTAAAATAACTCACTTAGTAGGATGTCTATTTAATAAAGTTTTATGAAAATAAAAAAAATTAAATACTTCAAAAGGTATATTTAACTCAATAAATAAAAAGAAATCAACATATACACTAGTATAAATATTTTGCCGAATGAATTATACAATAAATAATAAAAGCGTAATAGCTGAATAATTTATCATAAACATTCCGACCATTAGTACTTAACAGTGAAATTGAAATGTTTGGGGCATCATATGGTTAGCCACATATTTTAATTGTTCATGCTGGTATTTTTTGCGAAAAACACCATGATTTCTATGTAGGTTATTACATATTTTTGAGGATTGGGCAATTATCTAGAAGAATTTTTAGAAACCTGTAAAATACCAATCAGGAAGATACCTCAGAAACAATTTGTAAAAATAATGCAATCGAAAAAAAAAAAAAAAAAAAGGCTTGCCACTATTTTTCTCAAAGTCCTTCAATTTATAAATAAATAAATTTGGTACTAAAATGGTTCAATATATTGACTAATCTTTATTGACTAAAACCCTATCAGATTCATTCTTCTAGGTTGTGTTATATGCACAAAAATGTTTATGTATCTAACAAAAAGCTTTTCGAATTTTTTTCTATTTCAAATTAAACACAAACCATATTTTTCAATTAGCCGTTTTTCAACTTGTCTAATTTTTTTAGTGCCTTATACTAGGAAAAACCTTTCAACTGTTTGCTTTTAGTAAAAGATATTTTCTATTTCCATTGAATTAAAATAGTAATTTCCAAAGATAACTAGAATTCGTAACCAGTAAAGCATATTAGTCATTGAGTCTCTGTAATTTATATATATTTAAATTGCTCATATATTGTGGTTGTTGGATTTATTTTAAACATAATTCATTAAAATAACGATTAATGCATAACTTTTAAAATTTAGAATGTGTGTAGCAACTAAGAAAATCCGTAGCTGTATGTATTAGTTACTTCACTTTCTTAATTTTAAAAGTATATGCTTTTTTTCTAAAGATGCAAGGCATAAGGAGAAAATTATATTTTAAAATTGGGTTTTTTGCAATAAAAAAATCAACTTTTCCAACTTACTCTAAAAATCAAAGGAAATGTAAAATTTTACCTCGCATTTAGTATCACTACACGGTTTCCTGTTCCACACCACAATCTTCGGTCAACATGCCGTAAACACGTCACTGGATTTGAGCCAATGATGATGTAAAAAGTTTCTGGTTTCGGAAATTGCCCTTCAATACTCTAAAATTAAAATATTTTATTTAACAAAGAAACGTTTGAGGCAATATCAGGGTAAGCCACTTTTTATATTGTTTAAAAGAGAGTTTTGTATGTAAAACCCTAGGATTTCCGTGCAGAAAATACTATGTTGTCATCTAGTTGAAATTCTGAACCCCCATCTTATCTGGAAACAATGCTAAGAAACAGCTTGAAGTAAAAAAGAGTGGCTTATCACTATATTGCCCAAACCTCTTTATATATCCATCACATCATGCAAAATATTATACTTTCATTATTATATAACAATAACATTATTACTGATAAAATTTTTTATTGGCCTTAAAAAATATAAAGATGGTAATTTTTTGAAGCCAAGGAAGTTTTTAACCGAGTATAACTTTTTGCTTCAGTTTCTTGGGATAATTTATTTGACATTATTATCTCCTTTTAATGAGATTATTAAATACCATAATAAAACTCTTTAATTTATCATAAACTATTCAATTTTTTTTCAAAAAATCTCTTTTAAGTTTTAAAATAAATCATTACCAAATTATATATTTTTTAATTTACTGAAAACAACGAACGAAGATTTTAGTGAACAGTAAAATGTATAAGTATTTGAATTTTTGCTATTTTAAATTATTACCATATTTTTTTCTTTTAAATTTGATAACAATATCGTTTTAGTAAACAGTAAAATATCTTTCTATATAAAGTTTTTTAAGAAAACTATCTTAAATTATAAAAAGCATTCTGAACAGGAATATGCTTTTGAATTTAATAAAAATAACATTTTAATAAACAGTATTTATTTTGACTAACACTCAGATTTTTTTACAGTGTCACTTGATAGAACATAATATTGTTATATATGTAATAATATATGATATTACATAATACGTAATATGGAAGACAAAAATTGAAACTTGTTTTTATTTAAAAAGAGAATCATCTGAATATTTTTTTTTTAATTACTTCAACAACAGCTACTGTTCCATCCGCTAACCCAGCATATACTTGTCTAAATCCGTCTTCTTCATGGGACGCCAGTGATAATACAGAATCATTCAGTCTTATTTCCCACAGTAATCGCCTAAAAATTATTTAATTAGGTTATATTCAAATTCAAATTATAAGCGTAACAAGAGAGAGGAATAAAAATAATAATAAAATTCCTTTATTTTTATTTATTGCTCAAAAATACGGGAGGAATTTCATTGATTTCCTGCAGATACCAGTAATATCTTAACTCTTTCTTTAAATTGAAAATATCTTTGTTTCAAAATAACCTTTTAAACACAAAGTCTTAAGTATTCAGATTTTTTTAATCTTGATTAAGTTTCTAAAATATGTAAACGGGAGAAAAATTCTGTGGTAGTTTTTATTTCATGTTTTTAACATGTCGCAACGTTTACTTTACAATAAACTTCAGATTTTAAAATTTTCAAAATAAATTACATTTTTAATTTAGCTGCGTAAAAAGAATTTTATGCGATTTTTCAAAATATCTTTGTTGCTCTCGTTATTATCACTACTTGTTTCTTTTGGTAATTTTTTTCTGACAACTGTAAATTTCAACAGAGAAGGAGTATTTTTTAAATACATATATTCCGTGTATCATATCGAAAAAATATTATCTAAAAATAATCAAATAAAAACTTTTTAAAAAGTTCTCATTCAATTAATCAAAAGCGTATAATCATTATTAAAATATATAAAGCTTTTCTATGTAGTCAAAATTAAGAAACTGTTTCTTTGAAATGACACTTTTTTGCGTTTCGTAAAGTGGCTTATTTCATTGAAAATCATAAATAAAATTTAAACAGCTTTTGCAAAGTGATTAGGCTTAGGCAAAAACAAAAACATGTCTGTACGTACCGCGATTTCGTTGAATAAGCGTGCACAAAATGTGACAGTGTTCCCAAGAGCATTGTGTCATCATCTATAGCATGCATACACATGACTCGAGATTCCAGCTGAAATAAAATAGAATGAAAATTAATCTTTTTTATTCTACAATTTATTATACAAAGGAGACTTTCATAACAGTTTAAAATGGAGTCATTGGCAAAAAGTAGCATTAAAAAGCTCAGCTAAATGAATATGTATTATATTATCAATATACAAAGATCATTTCCTTTTACAGTTTTTTTAAAATAAGAAAAAAAAGTAGCAATTAGACTATTAGAATAAGAAAGACTATTAAATTTTTTTTAAAAATGTGGAATGTGTACTTTATTTTTAAATTTCTTATAGTCAGTTTGCTGCAAAAAAATTATTATTCCCTTCAAAAGACAGAAAGTATAATTAAAGGATTCGAATTAACGCTATTAAAGTATAATTAAATCTTAATTAGTTCAAAGGGAAGTTCCCGTTCAAATTACAATGATATATAATTAAAATCGAAATGCCTCAACGGATTAAGTACTAGCTTCCCAATGATGTGACCCAGGTTCAAATACCATATCACATCATCCTACCTTGGTCAAGCACCTTGTCTTGTTTTTCTGAGCTCCATTTTTCAGTTGCCATGATAGGAATACCACGTAATTTCGATCCTGGTCACAAGTTGCGGACAACGCCTGAAGTGGTACCCTTCTCTCCAAACTTCCACATCACATCTAAAGAGAGGACTTTCAGTCACGACAGATTTAACGTGCATCTAGCTACGTAAACACGCCAGTTGTTTAGTCGATTTCCAGGATAGAACTCACGACCCCTTGGCTCTCAATCCGTTGTGTGATCGACGCATTTACCGACAACACCAAGTTAGCTTTAGGTTCAAATAGCAGCGATGAAGGTACGGATCGCACAGTGCCACTCACTCCAACTACAGTGTTGGCGTTAATTATCTCCAGAGAGAGAGTCAAATCATGGGTTCGAATTACCATGTCCTCTTGGTAACAGTGAGATGTTTCTTTTTTTCATCTTGTAGGGCAATGCAGATTAGTTCTAACAAAACGTCTTCCACGACGGCTAGTTTGTCCTAATGCTGTATCCAGGAATTCCTATGTCTTCTGGGTTGGGTTCAAGTTCACAAATTTGCAAAGAGTATATTTTGCAAGAAGGTAATATTTTTTTTTTTCATCAAAGAATATTATTTAATTTATTCTTGTTAATTTACCTAAATAATATTGTACACTTATTTCGACCACTTTGCTTCAAACTATCTACTTAAAAACTTTCAGTAGAAAAAATACAAAAATTTAAACGTAAGGAAAGCAATCGAGTTATTTTTGAATCACTATGTCCCTATCGGTGACAAAAAAATTGCATTTTTTTAAAAAATGTTTTAAAAAAGGAAAGAAAAATGCGAATAAGAGATCAAGAGGACAATACGGCGTGATTTAAAGATGATAAACAGTTTTTACATTGATTAGAATTTCAATTTTCAATCGCAGTAGTTGAGTAGAATTTTTATTTACTCATACATGAAAAACAAGCAATTTAATTAGTTAGTAAAGCGATTAATTTCAAAATGGAAGTATGAGAATATATGAGTAGACCCATAAAAAAGCAAAGTTTCTTACAGAAGTTTCTTTAAAAAATATGCAATCTACTTTAAGATATCTAGAGGAATATTTGTTTTTCAGAAAATTTAAGGAACTATCGAAATTTAAGGTAAGGAAGATCAGTTGTGTTTTTAAGTACATTTATTACATAAAGAGATTAAAAAATAAATTCTGCTTAACGTCAGAAAATCAACTGGGCAATATGTTATCAAAGTTATTTATCACTTCTTTTTCCGAAAACTATTTTACTTCTATTACAGAATTTTTTTTGACAGTAGAATGGGGATCTGTTAAGTTAATAATACAGACTTTTAGCATGAAATAGGTATGTGGGACTAGAAAATTTCTAAATATTCTGAATGTAAATATTGTAAATATTCAGGGTGATATTCTTTTTTTTTATGGAATAGTATTTTACTACACATTTAAGAATATTTTATTCATAAACATATTGTTAAGTGCATAATATTATATTTGAGTTTGAAATTAAACTAATATGAATCCTTACTTCGATGTTAAGTCTATACATAATGTTTTCATCACAGTTCACTTTAGTTATATGAGCTCCACTATGATGGCCGTGACAAAGCCAAAGCTTGTCTGAAATATCAAAACTAAATATTATTATCTTAAGTTCATTTACATTCAATGAAAATTGAAGCTAATTTCAAACATATATTATTAGAGTTTTGCTTAATGAGCGCTCTTACTGTAGATGTTTAGGATACTTATAATGAATTTAAAAGAAGATTTATACATGATATTTAAACGAGGAAACAACAAAGTTATTAAAAGTTATCTAGTGAAACGCTATAGAGGAAAGTATACTGAAAACATCAAAATTTGTTTAATCTTTAAAAGAATCAAAGAAGATATGAAAGGATTTTATTAGAAACAGCTTTAAGTTTCATCAGGCAATCCAACAGGTTTTAGAATTTTTATTCCCGACTTCCTCACAAGTAATTTGTAAGATTTTGAAAATGGTTTCGTTAAGTTTCTCTTAAGCATTTTAAAAAACGTCTTTCTGGCTTAAAATTTAATTAGTAACCCCTAATAGGTATACTTTTGGCAATTTATCAATTTTTTTTAGCAAGAATTATAGAAATATTTATCAAGAGTGCTCATTAGGAAAAAACTCTGCATGCACTAATGACAAACATAAAATTTATTCAACTTTTAAGAAACGTTTCTTAAAGTATATTTTCTAAAACTTGATTTATCTTATTTAAAATCTATTGTAATTTTTGTCGATGGAAGAAAGAAAACATAGTTAATAATTTGATCAATTACCTTTATCATACACTGCTGCACATTCAATCACAAACTGATTCACACTTAGAAAGTCAAGTTCTGAAAACTGTAAGAAAATATGAATATTATGTAGCTGTCAATATAAAATTTAAAAATTCATTCAAAGTTTCATTCACTAAATGAAACAAATTTGTTTTAAAAAATTTTTAAAAATAAAAAAGGATTCAGTAAAAAAGTTTTAAGAAAAAGTGCAGTAAAACTAAAATGTATGACAAAGATTAATATATTTATTGGAAATCATTGAAAAAGGGCCATTATATCCAAATGACAATATAATTCAATGTATTTCTTCATTTATTACCTTTTTAATCTTTACTCATTGTTAATCGGTGACGACTTAACTCGTTATTGCACCTGTATTATCTATTTCAATTTATGAAATCTAGGGTGATGTCGAATATTGCAAAAGCTTTACACATCGTGTTAAGTCGTGTCTGCTTTATAATAATATAAGTAATATGCTACAATAATCTTTTATTTTACTTCCATATTAAATTATAAATTAATAGACGGTGACATGACATAGTTTTTGTGTAAGATTGCTGGTCAACGAAGTGACACAATTATAGCACGGTTAAAATTTTCGTTCTGCAATTACGGTAAAGCAACCGGCAGCAGTTTGTCCATACAATTAATCGTAAAGTTTATGGTTAGGCATATTTCTTTACCATTACTGGTGTGAAACTGTTTACAACTGATATAGTTTAAAAAAAACGAAAATATGAAATTTAGTTGGGTGTTGGAGATGATAGGTTATGCTAGAATTTTTTTAGGCAATAGACATTGGAGCTAGGTTGCAATTGAGCTGCGTTTTATAAAGTGAGCCGTAGCTAAATTAGATTATCTAGTGGGGACACCCATTGAAAGAGATGGGAACTACCAGATTCTTTTTTCTAGAGCAGCTCTGTGGTGTTGGCATCTATGGGGAATGAAAATTTTGTATTTCAATAACTGAGGAAGACAAGACACAGGAAACTCCTCATGTGTTGGAGGAATAGAAGTATTATTGTGGTGTCAACGCTAGGAATCGAAATTCAGACTGTCTGTTCAGACGGTCATGAAATTGACAGATTTGCGTTCTCGACTAAAGTATGTAACTATTTTCAAGAAACTAAGTGGCTTCATGAGGCGTTCCCCACACACTTCTTACTATAAGATTATTAGGCGTTCGCTGTTGTGTTAGACATCTGATGATGGAAAGTAAAAAATATGAATTCGTTATCCTTATCAGATGGCTTAGCCTCCAGATTTCGACGAACATGCTCTCGATTCTTATTGGTCGAAGGCCTAGTTGGTGGGGATAAAATTCTGGTTGTTTAACAGTATTAGGTAAAAAAGAGCTTGAATATACCATTTTCTTATGGTTATTTGGCAGGTTTGATTGAATATGTTAAAATAACAATTAAATAAATTGTTATTGTTTCCGAGAATTTTCTAACAGTATAAGAATGATGGTCTTATATACTTAAAGGAAAGGTAATAAAAGTGCTTTTCTCAAAAAATAATAATTTCTTTTTTGCATACAAATATATTCTAAGTTAAGATATATTAACTTTAACATAGTGTAAAATTATATTAACTTTACTTTAGTTGTGGACATATTTGCCCTCAAAATTTACATTTTCTTATCTATAAAAATGCCGACTAATAATGCCGACGTGAAAGCGGAATTATTAGCTTCAAATTTATTTGGAAAACATTTTGACAAGCATGCTTTAGTGTATACTCATTCTAAATCGGTGAGTTTTGATTTAGTGACCAATTAAAATGGTTTTCATTGAAATATACACTATTGAAAATAAATGTTTCAACAGCTAAAGCGAACGAGACAATATTTCTTTTTACATGTACTGGAAAAAATATACATCAAAACTGAGGCTTTGCTACTTTGTTTTTAAATTTAATTGTATTTAAGGTGCTTTTCTGTGTGCTCCAGAAGAAAAAAAAGAGTTTAATTGGTTCTACGTTATTTATACGTAGTTTTGAAATTCCTCTTATGAAAGTTTAAAATTAATTTTTTTTTTGGCGTTGTTAATTCAATCATATATATATTTTCCTTAACTTATGTAAATTGGAAGCATTTAAAGTTTAACTTCACCTAAAAATAATTAAAGAACAACTGAAAGGAAACTTGACAATTTTTTTTTACTTTTCTTTTAAGTTATAAAAGTAATTAATACACATTTAAGAGCAAAACTTACCATCCTTTCCCTGTCTTTTAAAGCAATTTTTTCTAAATCCATTTTTTTAGCATGCTCCTTTAGTGTTTTGTAGTAACATGCTTGTTTGGTTGCTATGTCTTGTCTTCGAGTAAAGGGTTTCAAGTCTTCGAAGGCTGTCTAGAGAGGAAAATAAAGTCTTAGGAGTGGCATTTGTGCTTATCTGAAGTTAATTTTTTGTCATTTTCCACGAATTTCGTTGTACTTGTTGAAATGAAAGTTGCTAGTAATATTCAAGAAAAATTCTTGAAATGAATTCTTGAAATATTGATACTTTTCTAACTTACATTCAATTAAATTTCTTGGGGAGAAAATTAGAAGAACTGATTTAATAAATAATAATAAGAATAAGAAGAAAACAAATAACTTCAACCCACTTCCATTCAGTTAAAAACATATAACTTTTACAGATCGTCGCCGGGTCTACAATCTAAAAAAAAAAAAGGTTAAACATTGAACTGTACTTTCACTACCCTGATATCGTGGGAAATTTCGTTACACTTAAGAATGTGCCGAATTGAACCAAATTTTCTTTCAAGTTGAACTATAGTTTTTTTTATTTGTAATCAAGCTCAAGATGGTTGAAGTTGCATGGTAATAGGGTAAACTTAATACCTTATTAAGGTTGTAGCAAACTTGTTCGATATTATGGTTCAATGTTGTCCAACTATGTGCCTAAGAGCTACTAATTTGTTAACGAGAAGGGTATCAACTTATGTACTGTGTAAAGTTTGTAATTATTTACAATGTTTATAATACATTAAATTCTGAATTTAAGAACTAAAAATCATGATTAACATAATGTCAAGCATTTATTTCGAGAAAGTGTTTCCGAAAATAACATTAACAGCGTCTTATTTAAAAAAAAACATTATACTTATAAGGCTTTAAATTTTGCAAGGTGTTAAACTAGACCACGTTTTCTTACAAGTTGAACTATAGTTTTCTTTTCTTTTTTTGTATTCAAGTTAAAGATGGTTGAAGTTGTATAGTAATATGGGTTCAACTTATAACTTTATATTAAGGTAAGTTATTTAAGTTCAACGTGGTCCAGAATTTCTAACTATGTGTCTGAAAGCTACTAATGGGTTAAACAGAAGGTAATATTAACTTATGTACTGTGTTAATGCAAATGTATCGTGTAAAATTATTTGTAATGTTAAAAGTTCATCCAATTCCTAACGTTAATTCAAGATCTAAAAAGCATTTATTTCCAAACTATCTAGCATTTACTTCGAAAAAATGTTTCAGGTAATAAAACTAACTGCGTCGTGTTTTAAAAATATTATATTTATTTTATAATTCTTGATTTTTATATTCATTATCACCTAAATGGTTATAAAACTGAATGTTTCGAATTTCAATTAATATAGTGCTTTGATAGAAATTCCAAAATTTATTTTAATGATGTGTTCTATCATTGAAATTTTGAAGATAATATTTTTTTGAAAAAACTTTAATAACGGTACAAATTTTAAGGAACTTTCTATTAGGAGGATCGGAAAATAATGCAGTTTCGGGGCATTTGATATTTGTTATCATGATTTTATTTCTTATCAATAATGTATTCACCCTCATTAGCAACAACCTTTCAATCGAAAATGAATAAAAATGGATCGAAAAAAATGAATTGGTTTATACTAATGAATATTTAATTCACCGAAACGACATTACTTTCCGGTCCCCCTAATATATAATTTATTTCCCTTTTCGATATTTATATATTAATTTGTAGTGCAATCCCTATGAAAATAAAGTACACGCAGTACTTTTTTAATCCACAATATCTGTTAAGAAAATCTCAGTAACCACACACACAAAGAATAAATCTAAAATATTATAGTTTAAAAATTACGTATCTCAATAGCAATTAATAATAATATTTTAAATGAATTCAATTTTACTTTATTCGCTTCGTGGACAGAGACATGTTCATTTCATTTATTTACGTAGACTCATTCATTTCTTAATTTTCTTATTCCGTAATTTTCCGATTTATCAATACGCTGATTTCGATAATTTATTTATTTTCTCTTTTACTGATTTGCCCTTAGATTTATTTGTATAATTCAATTATTTACTTTTATCTACGTTAAGTGGGCTTACAGTAAATGGATAAATTAAAATTTTAGTTTGGGTCTTTCAGAACATCCGTAATAAGAACCCCAAGTTAACATTGTAGTATGAACGCGAAATTACGGAATGCTCTTGATATTATTTCGCATTTTTATTAATAATAATAATGATTGAAAATGAATAATAAATATTTTGTTCATCCATTTTATGCCATTAAATGAAATTACTGCCATCTTCCTACTTAGAATACTGGTTGATGGCTCGCAGACATAAACGAAATTCATGTAAGTTTTGGAATTCTTTACATTTTTCACAATTAAGTTTATTCCTTAAAGACATTTTCTCAGTAGATGGCAGCACGAGAACTTTTGTTTAAAGTGACCTAATTATCTTGATTTTAAAACATTAAATTTCCTTTATTTTCATTTTTTTATACGAAACTTTTCTTTTCCTATGAGAATATTACCATTTCACAAAAGCTAGTCAGAAGAATAAATATATTTATAAATATCTATAATATTTACAGACTGTTTTCGTAATATATATAATTAAAGACTATAATGTATTAACCTAATTGAAACTTACTTAAAAAAAAACAGACATTTTGCTGATTATATGGCATTTGGTATTTTAATTATGCAATAGTACGGAACTTATTAAATAGTACTGATTGAACTTATTGAAAACTATATTTTTCACATTATATATTATTTGGTGATGTAATTGTGAAATAGAATATAATTGGTTAAATTAATTTATCATTTCGAATTTTCACAGCTTTTGTTAAAACTATAGAAAATTGGGTAACTACTGTAAATTTTGTAAACTGTTTAGCAGCGTAAATGCCAGCTGAAGTGGAAGTCAAAAATTATTTCAATATAAGTTTTGCACTATTGTTTTTATTTTATTTTATTATAGCTCTAAATGCTTCTTTTAATCAGGACTGAAATTTTATTTAGATTTGAGACAAATATTACATGCTGTCAAAATAAAATTTATGTTGACAGCATAAAAAACACGAATATTTGTTATCAAAATAAAAAGAGAAATGAATAATATTTTAATCTTGAATACTTATTAATGGTCGATTTTCAGTTGCTCAAATCACCACTCTTCAATAATTTCGTTAAATCAACTAGAAACTTTTTTAACCTGGCAATTTTAAAATAAATTCAGAATTTAGAGAATATAAAAAATTTAAATCCCTCGAAAAAGATATCTTATTAAAATATTTGCTCAATGCAAATTGATAAAATGAAGAACACTTTTTTTCTATGCATTGTGAAAAACTGCTTTCGAGTTAGGTTTGAAAAAAAAGAGATACCTATTGAAATAACCGTATGAAACGTGTTGTCATTTATAAAATTGAAAAGAAAAAATATTTGGAAATAATTTGTGTAAAATATTGCTTAATTATGGAGCAATCTTCGATCCGAGTTTTTTTTTTTTTTTTTTTTTTTTTTTTTTTTTTTTTTGGATTAGCTGGCACTGATCCAAAAAAGTCTCTGAAATTATCTGAATACTCTGCATTATTGGAAACAAATGTACAGAAAATATCAGTAAATGAACTGAAAACTCAATTATTAGAAAATATAAAAGATTGAATGAAATGTAGAAAAACAATGTTGAATGGGAAAAGTGTCAAATTGTAACAGGAAATTTAAACTCCGTAAACCACAGAATTATTACATGTTGAAAAGATATAGATAACACTGGGGAACAAATTTTTTGTTGCGTTCATACAAATGATCTTGACTAATTCGGGTGTAGGTATTTTAAATCAGAAATTAGTTTTGCTCCAAGAACTACAAATTTTTTTTAAATGGCATTTTTATTTTTTGTCGAAATGAACAAGTTTAAAAACGTTATATATAACAGGGGGCACGTAAATGTTGCCACAAACTTCTGTGAAAGTGAGGGCATATCATCAGAAATAAAATTGCGTAGGAACCCATGCCCGGAAATGTCGTCGTACGCGCCTATGGGCACTTCTCTATTATGACCTGCTCCAAAAAACACGAAAAAAAACAGCTCATAATAGTGTAGCGCCAGTAGCGGTGTATGATTACATTTCAGGGCTGGGGTTCCTATGAAACTTAAATCCTGATTATGTGAAGTTTGTCGCAATATTTAGGCTACCCCTGTTACATATAACGTTTTTCAACTTGAACACGAAAAAAAAAACAGCTCATAATAATGTAGCGCCAGTAGCGGTGTATGATTACATTTCAGGGCTGGGGTTCCTATGAAACTTAAATCCTGATTATGTGAAGTTTGTTGCAATATTTAGGCGACCCCTGTTACATATAACGTTTTTCAACTTGAGCATTTCGATAAACATAGACTGAAAATTTTATTTAAAAACAAAACTGTAACTTTGAGATCAAAAACCGACTGCAAATTTGAAATCTGCGATACGAAGGTATCTAAAATAATGTTTCCCAGTGTAATTTTTTAAAAGGCATATTGTAAAATGACAGTTTTTCAATAACATAATTGATTTAAATAATTGCTATATCAAAGCTGAAAATATTTATATTAAAAAAATATGCTCTGAAAAAAATGTACATCTGTTTTTTATTTGCGGAAAGCTAAGGTAAATAAAATATTCACAGTATATTAATAAAATAGAGCATTCATATTAAAAAAGAAAAAGAAAAATAACAATAAAATCAATAACGCAGATACTTATAAGTACAAAAAGTACCTGGAAAAGATGATCAACATCAAAGCAGAGTTTTGCAGCAGATTTGAGCTGCCTCATGATAGAAACAGTATCTTGTTTCGCCAATAGTGATCTTTCATTCATCTTGAGTATGGCCAATGAAAAACGGAAAAGTACTTTAGGACCCTCTAACAGAAAACAGTCCCAAATACGTAGTAAAGTCTGAAAAAAAAAACATTCGTTTGTAGTAAGCAAATTATTGTAAAACTCCCATGATTCATCAAACTTATAAAAAATTAATGAACACATTTAATATAAAAGTGGGTAAGTTAAACTAAAATAAACGAAACAGTTGGTAAAAAGTTTAGAGAATTGGAAATTTTTTAACTGTAAATAATTTTGAATTCACTGTAAAAAGAGGTATTTCAAAATGGAGCAAAAATGTGTCAAAATAGCTTCAAAGCAAAAAATAGTCGAATTTGAAAACCTCATGTCTTCAAAATTAAAACAGCTTATACTCGTTTCTGAGCAAAATGAATAGTCTCAACAGTGATATGGAGGGAATATTATGTGAGAGGATATCGGTAAGATTCGAACCAAAGACTCCCAGGTTCGTAGTACTACACTCTAACCACCATAAAAGTACAGCCCTGTCCTATAACGGAAGCTTTCAGTAACGGCCGCTGCAAAGACATACTAATTTCCAATTTCAATGTCTCAAAGGGTTGCAATTTGGAAAAGATGGCTCCAAAACTTAGTCAGGAGATCGGTAATTTTAAGCTCACTTTTTGCTTATTTCGCTATATCTTAAAATGTTTTAAGCAAATGGAATGCATGGCATGATGTATCATTGCGGTGGTCTATATATAAAACTTTCTAACTCCTCATCGACTAGGGAGTATCGTGGTTCGAGTATCTTTCTACGGATTCGGAGGTGCGTGGTTCGAAGCCAACGATCACATCTCCCGCACATTTATCCCTCTACATCTCGCTTGAGACTATGCATTTTTCTCAAAAATGAGCATATGATGTTTCAATTTTGAATATGGGGGGTTTTCAAATTCGACTATCATTTGTTTTGGAGCTATTTTGACGCAATTTTGAGAAAATCTTTTTTATTGTGTGGAGAATGCAGTTGTTTCAAGGCTCTTTTGAATCAAATGCAATGAATTCTTATATAATCAAATGCCTTTTTCATAGCCACATTCTCATATCGACAGTCAGAAAGATGGTTGCTTTATTTTTAATTTGCATAAAAAAAAAGGAAAATGTATAACACTTTGTTTTGTTTATTTCATACTTAAATAAGTAATTGATAAGTGATTCATAGTTAATAATTGAATTTCGTACCAAAATTAATAAAAGAGGCACTCCTCTGGTGGAGTACTTGCATACTCTCAATTATTTTTATATTTTTAGCTACATTTATAGTATTATACAGTAAAGCACTGTATATACATCATTCAAGGAATTGATGTAAATCGACGTATAAATGCAAAGGCGTATAACCGAAAATTACACAAATTGAAAGCACCTAATATTACTGATATAGAAAAATAGTAAAGGTAATGGTAATTAAATAAAAATTTAAATTATAGAAATAATATAAAAAAACAATAATATTTGAAACCAAAAATCGTTCACAAAAGAGGAAAAAAAATCATAGCTTTATTTCACATTTTGAGTGCTTAATATTTACAAATTTTTCCATACTGGTAGACATTCCAGAAGAAAAATCTTTGAAAGGAAATTTTTTTTTTCAGATCCTCACTAGAAATTCTCGCATCCATGCCAAATATTTATGGTAGTGTTTTTACATAATAAATTAAAATTAATAAAAATACTAAGTAAAAATAAACAAATAAATAAATTAAAAGGAGACGGATAATATATAATTTGCGTTTTTGCCGAGGTATATGCAAACCATTTTATCATTGAAATAGACTAAGAATTATCTGGGGCTTTAATGAAAAAGACGTATAAATGAGAAACGAATAAACAATGCTTTATTGTATTTTAAATAATTATATTATTTATTGCACATTGTTATTGAAAATTACAAGTAAAAATGAAAGCAAAATTTTTTGTTACAATATTAATATAATAATACTAGAAATATTTCTTTCTCAAAAAGTGTTTTTATTATTATAATAAAAACACCATCATCCAAAATTATATTAAATAAATGGAATCTTATTAACTTTAATGTATTACATAAATAATAATTACAATAATTTTAGCTATGCTTTTTACTTTTATTTTATACGTACATACTTTAATCTAATGATGCTACCAACTATTCTATGCACATATTGTAATTGAATGAAGCGATAATGAAGAATAAGGAATGAATAATGAAGGTTTAATAAAGAGAAACTCCTTAGAAGCATGTAATGACGTCTGATAGGCGGCATTTGATCATTTCCCATTTGGGAATTGCATCACAATTTGAGGATTGCCAGCGGCTCTCCAGTAAGGGAGGAATGCAAAGGGACAAAATCTTGTCAAAATTCATAGGGAATCTAGTACATGGTCTATTTTCTATGATATTTCAAATCATACGATATTTTGTTTTTTCTTTTGATGAAGTTTGATTTTTTGAATTTTATTTCATTTACTTAATTTGAGAGCATGTTGGATGGCGCAAAATCATGATTTGAATTATATATTCATATATATATATANTGAATATATATATATATAATGCTAGTGTGAAGCAAATGTCACCATGGATATAATACTCAGGAAATACTAATATATATATAAAACTTATACAAAGCATTTTTAATTTCGATACTTATTATCTAAATATTAGAGTAATCTAAATAATAGCTGATAAAAAAGGAAAAAAATCATAAAAAGTCATGAAAAAATTTGCGATATTGTGTAAGTAAATTTCACAAACACTATTTTGCATTTAGTGTTACAAGCGACAGAAACTTTTGAATTGGTATTTTCGTTTAATATTAAATCTAGGACACATTCAGAAGGTTAATAGCGTTAAGGACAAATGCGTTAAAAAAACAATTAGGCATACCTTAACTTTTTAAAATTAATTGCTGAATCTAAGACTATTAAAAAAATAATATTCATACTAAGAAATGCAAAAGAAAAAAAGAAAAAGAAAAAAAGAAAGCAATTACTATGGAAAAAAAACTCAAACTTATTCTTTGAAGGTAAAATGTATAAATTTTCATTTTGTTTGTTTCGGGAATTGAGTTTAGAGAATGCGTGTTGATATTTCTCGAACTGACTGCATTTCATTCAGTTTTAAACTAAACAAACATTTATTTTCATTAAAACGATAAAAAAATTACAAAAAAGAAATTCGTTTAATTTTCTCAAAAATTCTGATAAAAATGTAGACAAAATTTCCACCGTATTATAATATTCTCTTATTCTGAATCCGTTGCCACCTTCAGAGAATATTCTCAACTGATAAATCGAGTATACACAATTATTTTAATGAAAAATGCTCTGCAAGTAAAATGAAAAAATATCTTGTTTTGAGTTAAAAAATAATTTATCGTTATCTTTAAAATTTTGCGTACTTCGAGTTGAATGTTAACTGTAATAATTATTCGAACACAAAAAATGGCAAATAGCATTTGGAAATACAAAAATAAATTGTTCTCAAAATATAACTCTTTTTTTTATACACCGAGATAGATAATAATAAGGGCGCAATGGCCACTATTCCGCATTTTTAGAACCCAAGTATGCAGGTGGTGGCGCACATGAGGATTCAAAGTAATAGAAGAAGGAAGAAAAAAAAACTATTTCAGAATTAAAACAATGTGGCACCTGTGGGCCTCACGTCCTTTAAAAAACACCTGCTCTTCAGCGCATGCGCAGCTTCTTTTTCCGTGTCAGAAGCTCTAATGAAGGTACTATTTGAAATTTTCTTATGATTTAGGTTATAGAGTGAATTGAATGGTTCTATTAAAGAACTGCGAAGCGTTTTTGAAGGACAGGCACTTGTAACGACTTCACCTGTAACTTATGTAAATTTATTTGACGCCTCATTATTTTTTATGAAAAAAAGAATAGGGAAATGTTTACTTAACTTATACATCTGATATTTTTTTTCGAAAAATTACTATGCTATTACTTATATCTTATGATTATGTGCGTATAAGAAAAACATTGATACATATTATAAAAAACGATTCTTAAATCATGTGTAAGAAATAAATAAATGAAATTGTAAAATTTAAGAGACATCTAATTTATAAAAGAAATGTATCTTCACATTGCATGCGTTTTTCTAAATGTAATTTAAATCCATAACATCGTTCAAATATTCTGAAACCTTATTATTATACTAAGCTGAACCATTTTATCGCATTTCTTACCTTAATAGCACGATAATGTAGTTAATTTGAACGGAGATGGTTACACCTTATTAAGGTTGTTGCAAATTCGCACTTAATTACAGTTCAGGATATGGTTAATCGTTGAATCAAATTTTTCTGAGAGTGTGGTTAGATAATTTATGCGCTTCACATTTACTGAACATACATCGACAAAATTTTGTGACAATGAAACAAATTTACAAGTTCCTTCTATAAAAGATTGTTTTAATAGAGTTCCATAAAAATTTTTTTTTATTTGAATTTTTAAAAATGTTACTCTTCAATTTTAACTCCTGCAATTTTAACACTTTTCTTTTTATATTAAATACTAATTTTTTGCTTTTAAATTTTAAAATAGCAGTAATAGTTAAGTATTGATTGCTGACATGTTAGAACTTGTCTCAGTTGAAAAACACGAATTGTTACTATATATCGCTTCTTAAATAAGGCATAAAAGAGATTAAAGAAACAAGTTCAGACCAAGAATTCGAAAGCAGAAGTGAAAAATTTACAAAGTGGTTTGTGAATCATTGCCTTACTTTTACCATTATTAATAGAATGTTCGGAATCTTTGAGGTGGAACATATAGAAGGCACGAAAGTTATTAGACAACTTTGACATCCAATAACTCTTGAAACATTTATGTAGCTTGTACACGTCACAGAAACATATAGCTTTTACTGCTGCAGAAATAAATCTACAGCAATGCATATGAAACTATGAAACAAGAATATTAATGAAAGCACACAAAGAAATGCATATAAGCTTGGGAATGTAGATAAAGCAAAGACGCAGGCAAAATGGCGCATGCAAAACGGTGGAAAAGTAAAACTTCATATATGTTACTTTTATATTTACAATAAATAA